CTTAGTAGCCTTATGTAAAAAACTTATAATGACAAGTTCTATGAGGAGATAAAAGTAGGTAAGAAGATAGGGAGCAGCTACATAATTTATTAATTTGCATAAACTTGTACAGTCATTTTCAGAAAGTAGAATCGCATTCTGCATACTGTTTTTAAGTTGCCCGCCCCCTGCCTTGGAGTCTTACTCTGTTGCCCAGGCTGGAGTGCAGTGGCACGCTCACGGCCATCGCAGTCTCGACTTGCTGTGCTCAGGCAATCCTTCCACCTCAGCCTTCCAAGTAGCTGGAACTACAGATGCACACCACCATGCCTGGCTAGTTTTTGTGATTTTTTGTAGAGATGAAGTCTCACCAAGTTGCCCAGACTGGTGTCGAAACCCTGGGTTCAGGCAATCTTCTTGCTTGGGCCTCCCAAAGTGCTGGGATTACAGGCTGAGCTACTGTGCCCGGCTGAGTTGCTTCTTTAAAAACTTGACCCTGTTTCCATATCAGTACAAGTAGATTCACACATTCACTAAATATTTAATCAACAAATATTTAGATAATGTAGCTCACACCTGTAATCCCAGTACTTTGGGAGGTTGGCCCAAGGCAGGAGGGTTGCTTGAGCCCAGGGAGTTCGAGACCAGCCCTGGGCAACATAGTGAGATTTTATCTCTAAAAAAAAATTTAGAAACTAGCTAAGCGTGGTGGCATGCCTGTAATTCCAGCGACTCAGTAGGCTGAGGCGGAAAGATTGCCTGGGCCAAGAGTTCGAGGCTCTGATGAGCTATGATTCTGCCCCTATAGCCTGGGAAGCAGGGTGAGAACCCAACTCAACAACAACAAATATTTTTTAAACCCCTTGTCTGTGTCAGGCTCTGTGCTAGTTGCTGTCAGTATACTGATAAGCAAAACAAAGGGCCACACTTTGTGGAGTATATGGTCTAAATATGTAGGTCTACCTTAATTCTTGTGAATGGTTTTTATAGTTTTTTCTTGTGTATTAAGCATTTGTTGCTATGCATCAAATTACTCCAAAATTTATCTCATGCAGTTTCTGAGCATCAGGAATCTGGAAGTGGCTTAGCTGAGTGCTTCTACTGAGTGAGCACTCATGGTCCCCATGAGGTTTCAGTCAAGCTATTGGTGGGGGCTGCAGTCATCTGAGGATGGTTGTGTATGTCACTTAGCAAACCCAAGAGAGTTGGATTCTGGCCTGTTGGTGGGAAAAAATTCAACCTCTGCATAGGCAGCATCAGATACTGTTGGAAGTGATGGTGAAGATGACACTGTCAACAGCAAGATTAATTGAAAGCCAGTCTGAAAAATGAATTCCTAATTCCCTTCCCTGCAGCCAGAACTGCTGTTCTGCCTAAGGGTTTCTTCTCTGGAAGTGGAGGTGTTCTGCTTGAAACATTGGAGGGCAGAAGTACTGTACTAAGTCAGCAGATGTAAGTGCACCCTTATGAGGCTAATAAGTGAAGAAGGTTATAAAATAAATTTTCAAACACACATTCTTCTTTCCCATGCAGACCCCAGAATATTGACAACCAGTATTTTACTTTTTTATCCAGGAGACTGGAAGTATATGTTGAAGACCCCCCCAAAAGATTGAAAATACTAATATAGATTGCTAACAAAATAGCCCCATTATATCACCCTTTAATTAATCCCACAACCCACAAGCCCCACTCAGGCACATAAGTTCCTAGTCAGTTTTTGGTACTCTTTTCATTAGACATCTCAGGGAAACTTCTTAATTTAAAAGATGGAGATCAGGCCGGGCTTGGTGGCTCAGCCTGTAATCCCGTGCTTTGGGAGGCCAAGGTGAGTGAATTGCCTGAGACTGCAGGTAACTTGGTAAGACCTCATCTCTACAATAAAATCAAAAAATTAACCGGGTGTGGTAGCACGTGCCTATAGTTCCAGCCACTTGGAGACTGAGGTGGAAGGATCACCGGAGCCCAGCAGGTCAAGTCTGTGGTGGCCAGGAGTGGCCACTGCACTCCAGTCTGGGCGACAGTGAGACTCCAACTTAAAAAAAAAGAAAGAAAGATGGAGATCAAAACAAACAACCTAGAAAATGCTGCTTGAAGAAAACAGACTATTTTAATATTCTCAAACGGATAAGAGTAGATATGACAAACTTAAAACAAGAATCAGGTGCTATAAAAAAGAAATGGTCAAAGAACTAAAAAAACTCCTGGAAACTTAATTCAATGGAAAATTTGGCTGATAAGTGTAAAGAAATTTGCCAGAAAGTAGAACAAACAGATAAATTTATAAAATGAAATGAAAAAATTAGAAGACCAGTCCAGAAGGGCTAATAAGTGAAATTCCAGAAAGAAAATGGGAGTAAATCCTTAATAACAAAAAAAAACTTTCATAAACACGAAGGACATAAATTTCCTAATCAAAAAGACTCACCAAAACTCAGGATAATAAGAGAAAACAGACCTACTTTAAGACAGTTCATTTGGAGAATTTTAGTATATTGGAGCCAAAGGAAAAAATTTTAAGCATTTCTAGAAATTAAAAAAAAAAAGACGAAAGCAGTTTCTTACTAATCAGAGTGGCATCAGATTTCTCAGAATAAACACTGGAAGCTAGAAGACAGTGGACTGAGGGAAATTATAATTCTGTATCCAGGCACACTCTTTTGTGTGAGCATAGAATAAATACCTTTTTCCACATTCTAGATTTTCAGAAGTGCACTTCCTGGGTCTTTTTTTCTTACGAAACTACTAGGACTCATGTTTCTCCAGAACTAGGTAGTAAAAGTGAAAGACGTAGGATCTGGGAATTAGGGGATCTGCTAGGGGAAGTATGAAAGGAATACCACCACATTATAAGGAAAGCCCAAGGTGGCCTTGTACAGCAGATGGTCAGTCTAGACTAGAAGATAATCAGAAAGCAGGTGCGATCATAGGACATCTAAGGAGTGTGAATATTTTGAGAGGGGATTTATGCAACTGGACAAGTATTTGGAGTTTAATTAATGATAACATAGAAAATAAGTAGATGGGAATGAACACAATTATTTTAACTGAAAGTTTTTATGTTTTTGTTTTTAATTTAAATCATGGTATGTTCCATGACTCAGCTATTAAAAGGGTTTATATATATAATAACAATTCTAAAGGAAAGCATAACATATGTCTGTATTATAACAGTTGGAAGGAGAGTGTAGGGAGTACCTTTGTGTGTTCAGGAAAGAGACCTGCACCTTCATTTTTCATAGTAAGAAGTCATGTTTGAAATTAAGTCTATGTTTGAAATTAAGTGTTGTAATGAGTCAAACCTGTTAATTAGAAAGATAGGTAGACACCAAATAAATTGAAAGAGTTGAAAATGTTGCCTTTAAGAAGTGAAAAATGAAGCGAAAGATTTATATAATTATGAAGGTATATATTAAACTATGTGAAACCATATATAATTTTGATATAAATCAAAACCAAATTAAAAATATAGTAAAGGGAATTTGTGAAGAAAGTGTTGACACCAGTACATTTTGCTATAGAACAGCATTAAAAATTCAAGAACTGATTATAGGAATTAATATCTAAAAATAGCAAAAGTAAAACTTGATCAAGTTTTTAGGTATTTATTTGGTATGGTAGTTAAGCTCTCATACAGATAAATAGCTCAGTGGTATATGTCATATGTATTCCTGAAATGCCTTTAAAGTGAAATTCCGTAGTTAAGTCTTCCCGTCTTGTGAACATTTTATAGACACAAATAAAGTAATCTTAACTTTGAGAGTATCTTTTAGTGAAATGCTTTATAAGGAATATCTAAATTTTTACAATATAGGATAGCATGAATGTTCCAGTGTAGGATTTTCTACCAAAAATATAGATAAATGTAATAAAATAGATAAGTTTAGTACATAAATTGAATAATTTCTGTGATCCTGAGTTAGTTGTGACCTTTATGATTACCACATAAGCATTTTGTTACTTAAATTTTTTTTGTATATTTGTCATTTCAAGTATGTATATATAGGTGCAGCCTAGTTTAGGGTATAGCTTTAATATATACGGTCACTGTATATGAAAACAATTTAAAGAAAATAACTTAGGCTTGGTGGCTCATTCCTGTAATCCAGCAGTTTGGGAGGCTGAGGTGAGAGGATTGCCCAAGAGTCTGAGAACAGCCTGGGCAACAAGGTAAGACCTTGTCTCTATAATTTAAAAAAAAAAAATTAGCCAGGTGTGGAGGTACATACCTGTAGTCCCAGCTTCTTGGAAGACTGAAGTGGAAGGATTGCCTGAACCCAGCAGGTCAAGGTTGTGGTAGCCGTGATGGCGCCATTGCACTCCAGCCTGGGCAACAGAGCGAGACTCTGACTCAAAAATTAATAACAATAATAATTTTAAGGACTCTTTAATAAAAATTAAATTTAATTGGGTTCTTGTGTTTAAGAAACAGGAAAATATTTTCCATTTGTTCTACTTTCAAATGGAAAACAAGAGTGTTAAAGTAAAAAATACCAGGCTTTTATTTTTTAAAATTTTCTTCTGTATCAAGAAAAGAGTATAAAGGAAGAAACAGGGATTGCAGAAGATAAAATGAGAGTGGGGGAATAAGAGACTGACAGTATTCAAGTTAGAACAGGAGAAAGATAAAGTTCTGATGTCAGAAATTCAGAGTCCTACCAAAACCGAGAGGGATAGATGTGCACCAAAAGAAGATACTACTTGCACATAAAAGAAAGAATTTTCATAGCACAGTAGCTGCACATACTTCTGAAAGGTTAGTAAATTAAAAAATTTTAGATATTATTCTATTTCTACTCTGCTAGCTATATTTACTATTTAAGTTCTCAGTATAAAGAAAGAGAATAATTAAGAAGCCAAAGAGGCACTAATAATTGAGAAAACAAATACTTTGTAATACATGTATATAGACTTTTAAGGTAAAGCTTATCTGTAATTTTTCTGATTATAAGAAGGAATAACATTTTTAGATTGTCTTAATTTGTTGTCTTTTGCTGTTATTTTTGTATTTCTTTTTAAAGGTGGGAACAGAGAAAGGATCCTCATGGTAGAACCTATTATGTGGATCATAATACTAGAACTACCACATGGGAGAGACCACAACCTTTACCTCCAGGGTAATGTAGCATCTTTATGCATCTTCACTTGTATTTTATCATACATGTGATTTTAAAATGTATTTAATAGAGCATAAATTGATTCTTTCATTCTACATGTATTAAATTTCCTTACATTTTATTGATTTGCTTGTGTGAATAATGAATGCTAAATAAATGAGGCTAAATAATATGAAGAACTTCCTCACGAGACTGTCAAACATTGACCAGTCTCTCAGTTACTGAGAGAAGTTGCAAAATTTTGGTGCATTGTTGTTATTATATTTTTTTATTTTGTTGTTGTTGTTATTATTTTAATTTAAAATTCAAATTTCTTTCCCAAAAGACAAAATGCTTGTTATTTTTTAAGGAAAGAATGGTATATGTAGGGCAATTTATATGTATGGTTCTCCTTGGATAATGATCTAAACTGTTATTTCATAAGATTTATTGGTATAAGAGGTATTAGAGTGGACCAAAATTATGATCTACAAAGAAGGCTACAGGTAAACTTGTATTATATCATACCTAAAATTATAGAGGGCTATAAAATAACGAAAACATTTTTATTACATACTAGATAAACTTTATGCTAATAAGCTGTCATTTAAGGCCATTCAAAAACCTTTCTTTACCTTTACATTCTTTCATAACTCTATATATCGTGCACTGATAGCTAGTTGAATCATACTGTTTGCATTATCCTCAAACATTCTGCCTGTACCTGGAATATATTATTGTCTTTGACACTCAGAGTTTTCTGTCTTTTCAGATTCAATTTAAATTCCACCAATATACACAAAGTTCATAAAATTGAGTTCAGGGAATATGTTATTTTTATGAGACATTTCTTTTTTATGGAATAAAGTATTCAGGCTCCTAAAGTATTAATTGAGTACTTATCATTGGAAAACATGGAGCCAATATTTCAACATAGCAAACCATAAAGTTTAGTTTTACTATGACAAGACCATCAAGTTAGAGTCATTCTTTTAACTCATTAATTGAGTGCCATGTCATAGGGTTTATTTCACCGAAACTGGTGTCCAAAAATTAGGCAGGGACTATCTTTAATTTTATTTTTAGAACTTATTATGCTCGTTGTGACCCCATTGTATTTTTGGTAATAAGTTTATAGAAAGAATTTAGAATTGGTTACTAGAAGGATTCTGAGACCGTTGAATAAATTAATGACAAAACTGGTTTAATAGATCCCAGATGTGTAAAAGAGGTAGGAGTGGAACAGAACCCTGGAGAATGAATAGAATTCTGATTGGTATAAGAGAAATAAGGAAGAATATTTTGTTCTGAGGGAGTGACATGACAAAATGAAACACTTGACATACTTGAATCCAGCAAGTAGTTGGTTTGGCTTTCACATAGGTTTCTTGTAGGATCTCAGAGAAACGAACTGAACAGATGAACAGGTTCACTTGTACCAAGTCAAAGAGCCCTCATAGGTGGAATGACAAGATTCCATCTGCACTTCAGGAAGATAACTGGCAGTAACATAACAGCAGATGAATTAAAAAGTAATAAAAAGAGTTTAGTTAAAATCCTGAACATGGACAGTAGCCATAGGGCAGAGTGCTTGGTATACAGCAAGCACTCTCAGTAAATGCTTATCAAGAAAAGTGGAAGAAAGTTTAGTCACATTGCTACTGAAACTGTTCAGTCAGTGTCCTCTTTTTTAGATAGTCTTTAGAAATTATATTAGTGGCAGAATGGGAAGGTAATTTAGCTAAAAATAAATAGCTCATAGTCTTACAGATTTTTCTGGAGAATATCAGTATTTTAAAAGTTATTTTAATACATCGTGGACTTAATTTTTAGGTTAAATGAAGTATTAACTACTTTTTAGTTTCTTATATTGAGAGATTGTTATTTATTTTAATTATTGTTTATTTTGCCTGTGGTAGTTGGGAAAGAAGAGTTGATGATCGTGCAAGAGTTTATTATGTGGATCATAACACCAGAACAACAACATGGCAGCGGCCTACCATGGAATCTGTCCGAAATTTTGAACAGTGGCAGTCTCAGCGGAATCAATTACAGGGAGCTATGCAACAGTTCAACCAACGATACCTCTATTCGGTAATTAGCAAAGTATAAAATGTTAATATAACTTTTTCCTTATAGGCATTTCCTTATGGGCATTTATTTGCCCATCTCTACTTTGGTGATTTTTAAAAAAATTTTATAGACTATATCACAAAGGTATTTTTTAGTTAATCTTCTTTGGCGAGACTTCATCTCTACAATAAATCAAAAAATTAGCTGGACGTGGTAGTGCGCGCCTGTAATTCCAGCTACTTGGAAGGCTGAGGCGGAAGGATCACCGGAGCCCAGCAGGTCGAGGCTGCGGTGGCTGGGAGCGGCCACTGCACTCCAGTCTGGGCGACAGAGTGAGACTCCAACTCAATAAATAAATAAATAAATAAATAAATAAGTGTTTTGGATAAAAACACTTGATAATATTTAAAAAACATTCTAGTTTACTGACATAACTATGCACTCAGTTTTATATCATTGTTAAAGGTTAGGTAATTCCATAAATGCCGTTTCTTAAATAAAACAATATCTTTACCAATTCCCAATCCTCCACCTTTAATTATAATGCTTTTATTTGCTTAAACAAAACCACTTACCTTATGATTTTACCTTGAGCCAGTCTTGTAGTTTTCTGGCTATTCTGAGTTCCTTCCCAGATGCTAAGAAACAGTACTCATTTGTTCTACTCTACCAATGTTATTCCTAGGATTAAAGTTTTGTTCAAAAAAATCGATTGCTGTCTGACAATTTGACTGATAGGTGATTTATTTATTGCCATAAACAAACATCCACAAGAGGAGTGGGAAAAAAACAAGAAAAAAAAGACTTCTGCTGAATGGTTTGATTATAGGCGATAGAAAAAAATTTTAGCCTGGGAGCGGTGGCTCATGTCTATTATCCTAGCACTTTGGAAGGCCAGATGGGAAGATTTCTTGAGCCCAGAAGTTCAAGACCAGCCTTGGTGAGACCCCATCTCTCCAAAAAAAAAAAAAAAAAATTTAGCAAGACATGGTAACACATGCCTGGAGTCTCAGCAATTCAGGAGGCTAAGGCAGAAGGATTGCCTGAGCCCAAGAGGTCAAGGCTGTGATGGGCCATGATTTGTGCCACTGCATTCTGGCCTGGGTGACAGTAAGACCCCTACTCAAAAAAAAAAAAAATTAGAAAGGAAAGAAAAGATACATTTTAAGTACTAGGGAACTCTAGTTTTGTTTTGAGCCAACTTGAAGGAACCTCCAAAATGTAGAAGTTAGCAGATAGGAAGTAGGAAAGAAACTTAGAAAGGAAATTTAACTTTCTTCAGAATCCTGCCCTGGACTGGCTCTTTCAACTACATTTTTTAGAGATTAAATAACAAGTTCATCTTTGCTGGTTGTTGCATTCTCCTGGTTATCTGTAGCCAGGAGAGAGGGAGTGGGGTAACTTAAGTTTCCGTAGCATTTCCTGCTGCCACCAACTGCTGGGTCTTTTGTGATTTATATAGAAATCTGTGGTAAGGTTCCATAGTTTGGCTGTATATAGTAAACAAGAAATTCCTTACAAAGTAGATTTATTTTGTTTATTTTTGGTTCGACTTATCTATACATGTGAAAACCTTTGGGGAACTGGGCAGAATTGGGTAACAGGTGTGTATCAGAAGCATGTTCTCCTGCAGATAACAGCATCTCAAACAGATTGAGACTTAGTTATCTCAGTATAACACCTAGTCGGTGGTAAGAGCCTAAGACAAATACTGCATTGGCTCAATTGTGTCATCAAGTACCTGGGTTCTTTCTGCCTTTTTACTCCACAATTCTTATCGTGCTTTGTGCCTGTTGCTTCAGTCATATGGAGCTGCTGCCCTCTGGATCACACTTCTACAATCTAGGCAAGAAGAAAGGGCATATGGCTTTGTTCCAGCAAGCCCTTGCCTTTTTTACTTAGCAAAAGGTGTTTTTACCATGGCCTTCTGCCTATTCTTCATTGGCCAGAATTGAGTTCACTCTACCAATACAGCTTCAAGGAAGGAAGCGAATAGAATGTTCTTTATGGACATATTGCTACCTTAAACAGAACAGTAACTTGGTTATCAAGAAGGGGTGAAAAATAAACATTGAGTATAATTAACAGTATCTGTTATAAGATTATATTTAACCAAGATGCATGTACTACTTTATCATTAAGAAATTATTTTTCAGGTAGTGATTTATATATTTGTCATTATTTCAGAATTCATGATGGAATGTTTATATTTTCTTCAGAATGTATTTCTGGGTTGTATTAATGTGTATGCATATTTTTAAATGTGTTTATGTATGAATATATAAAAGATACTAATTAAAATAAAATTTTATTTTTGTAAAGATGATACTGGAGTTTAATATGGTTGTATTAATAGGCATTTGTTTTAAAGAATACTGTGATTATTGTTCTATTTTTAAACAAATAATATCTCATTTAAACACCATAATTTCTATATGCTCTTCCATTTCATCTTGTCCCTATAGTATTGAAGGACTAGGAGATACAAGCATTGATGTCAGTGTATTATTTCTAAATCATTAAAAAGCTAATAATTTTATTAGTTGATTGACTTTGATTGCCTCATGACATTTTAAGAACTTTGTGTCTTGGAATTGCTATATTTTTATTCCTTTATCATATTTTTAAAAATTATTATAAATTTTTTTGTCAAGTTCTTAGTTTATTTCTACTTTTTAATTAAAATACTATTATTTCCTCCCCCAACTCTTTCTCCAATCAGGCTTCAATGTTAGCTGCAGAAAATGATCCATATGGACCTTTGCCACCAGGCTGGGGTAAGCTGATAGGATTTTGGTAAAAATATCTGTAAGCGGTGTGTGTGTATGTGTAAAATAGTTACTAAATGTTATGCTCATTTCATGTTTTAGAAAAAAGAGTGGATTCAACAGACAGAGTTTACTTTGTGAATCATAACACAAAAACAACCCAATGGGAAGATCCAAGAACACAAGGGTATGTATATATTACAGACTTATTGCTTGAGTCATCTTGTATATATCTGTAAATAGAATCAGTGAACATTGAGACAGATGTTTTTAATACTTAGAAAATCACTTCATGTTTATAACTTTATCTTTTAGCTTACAGAATGAAGAACCCCTGCCAGAAGGGTGGGAAATCAGGTATACTCGTGAAGGTGTTAGGTACTTTGTTGATCATAATACAAGAACAACAACATTCAAAGATCCTCGCAATGGGAAGTCATCTGTGTAAGTGAAAACCTGGAGTTTTTTTAATGCTACTTAGTGAGGACATGAGATTTAGTCTCTAATTATCCTGAAGTTTAGCCACAGATTCTACTTTTTGGTTCAAGAAAACTTACACAAGTAATATACTAGTATAACTATCTTTGCTTTATCTTATTCCATAATGGATTTGTGGGATGTAATTCCTTAATAACAATGGCAACTATATAATGACTATATACCAAGGATTCTAAGCACTTTATATTTGCTAGCTCATTTTTTCTTTCAACAACCCCACTGAGTTAGATACTATTATTTTTCCCTTTACCAAGTGAGAAGAAGTACAGGGAGCATATTTGACTGTGCAGTCATAGTCAATAGTAGAGCTGGTTTCAGACTAGTGTGGTCAGTATTTCTCCAGTCTCTGCTCTCAACTGTCACATCCTACTGCTTTAATGAGATGTTCAATGAAACTGAATTTTTCAGATAAAGATATCTTAATTAAGCAGTTGACAGATCTTTCCTTCATTCTTACTCTTAGGTGTGGTGTCTTTGCTTCACTAAGAAAATAAAAGCAATTGTAAAAGTTCTTTTGCATATTCCCCATCACATCTACCCTACCACCACCATCTATCCTCCCTTTTGTTCCAATAGATTAATGTCATTGTTCTTATCAAAGGCCAGTCCTTCTGCTGGTGCATTATATTCCATCCCCCTTAACTCAGTTATTCCAGCAGTTATCCATCTTTCTTTTCTACATCATTGGATTTACTTTTTCTACTACATTATTCGCATCAGCTGTCATTTCTTCCAGATTAAAAAAATTTTTTTAAAGCAACCATAGTTCTTTCCCTTACTGATTTATTCAATGACAATTTGTTTTTATTGCTGCCCTTCACAGAAGAGCTACTTGAAAGAGTTGTCTCTATATTGTTATTTCTAATTTCACCCTTAAACTGACTCTAAGGAAGTTCCTCTGACACTGAACTTGCCAAGGGCACTAGTGTCCTTCACACTGTTAATCCAGGGGTTTCTTTTGCAGTCCTGCCTTATTTGACTTATCAGGAGAATTTGACACAATACTTTTCTTTCTCCTGGCAAAAGTAGTACAGGGAACCATACTTTCTTGATTTCCTTCTGCCTTTCTGGTCTTATTTCTTTATTTTGCTGATTCCTTTTTTTCTCACTTTCTTAACATTGACATACCCAGAGCTCTGTCTTTATTCCTTTTCAACTCAGAGTCTCACTTTGTTGCTCAGGCTTTCTTTCTTTGTTTTTTTTTTTTGACTCAGAGTCTCATTTTGTTGTTGGAAGACAGTCAGTCACAGGATCATGGTTACTGCAGCCTCAACCTTCTGGGCTCAGGTGATCCTCCTGCCTCAGTCTTCCTCGTAGCTGGAACTATAGGTGCGCCACCACGCCTGCTAATTTTTTGATTTATTGTAGAGACAAGATCTCACCAGATCATCCGGGCTGGTCTTGAACCCTTGGGGTCAGGCAATCTTCTTGCCTCTGCCTCCCAAAGTGCTGGAATTACAGGCATGAGCCACCACACCTGCCCCTCCTTTTTATTTTTTTAACTACATTTATTCTTTTGGTGAATCTTATTTGGTGTCATGTTTTTGAAAACATCAATTTGCTAATGACTCAAATGTATCTCTAGCTCAGACTTCTCATTTGAAATTCTGCTTTGTATATTCAGCTGCTTGCTTGACATCTCCACTAGTAACTCCTTCCTTATAGCTGCTATAAAACTGTTCTACCTGTGATGTTCTCCAACTCAGTTAATGGTGATTTTAGTCTTACATGTGTCTGGACCACAAGTTTTGAAATTGTCCTTTACTCCTCTTCTCTCTTGCCATGAAGAACAGTCCATCAAGAATTCTAGTTACCCCAACTTTAGAACACTTCTAGGGCTGTCTCACCATCCTCACTGCCACCACTTTGGTCCAAGCCAGAGTCCTCTACCCACCTCTGCCTTCTACCCACCTCTGCCTTCTACCCACACCTCATGTAATGTTAAACCATTCTTCATACAGCAAAGATACTGATTTTTTTAAAAAGAAATTAAGTAAAAGTTCATCATTTATACACAATCCTTTGATGGTTTTCATCTCAATGATAGTAAAAAGCAAAGTCTTTAAATTGGCCAACAAAACCTCATAGAATCTGACCCCTGTTATCTCTTCAACCTCTTCTCAGTTTTTCTTTTTCATTCACACTGCTCTGGCTTCAGTGGCCACTAGCTTTACCTTGAACCCTTAGACTTCCACCTCTGGGTCTTTGTTCTTGTTCCCTTTGCTTACTGTGCTCTTTTCCAACTTATCTGTATGACTTATGCCCTCTCCTTCATGCTTCTGCTCAAATGTCACTGTTTCTGTGAACCTTTCTTTCTCTTTTCACCTTTTTCAGAATAGCCTCCTCATACCACTCCGTATTCTTTGTCCATTTTTCCCTTAGGGGCGGGAGTGATAAGACATTTATCCCCTTTTAACGCACAACATGTATAGTTTACTTATTATATTTTTTTTATCTGTCTCCTTCGTGGGTACATAAGCGCCACATAAACAGACATTTTAATCTATTAACAAGCAATGCTGTCACTGTCTAAAAGAATGCCAGGTACCAGCTGTGCATTTAGTAAATACTTGTTGAATAAGTGAATTAACTTGAATCTGACAACACAGGAGACACTTTTCATTCCAAAATGTGATTGTGAATTTTCTTTGTGCCTGTCTCTTATGTCCTCAGTCTATAGGCAAGAGACCCAGGTCCTTTTAATGTGAGTTCAACCATATTGTAAAACCTATATTCCTAGACACCATCCACTCTGCCTCTTTGATTACTCACCTGACTCATGTGACCTGAATGTCACGTGTTTTTTCTAGGAACTGAATTTTGCTTTGCTTATTATCTCCAGCAATATTTGTTTTGGTTAAAATGCGGTAGAATTTCTTTCCATGTCTCTTCTACTTAGAGCCTCTGTTCTCACTGGATGTAAAGATTATCAAAGATTTTCTTTTATATTATCTGTAGTAGACTTGAATATTTCATTTAACTCACTACTGAACAAAGTTCCAGCCATACCTATAATTCCCTTCTTAGTATATATGTGTGTCCTGTTGCTATAATAGCCTCATTGCTGAACTTCTAGTGGCCCACCAAATATACCCTTCTTTCCCAGCAAAAGATTTTTCTCTGGTTGTTTGTAGGATTTCAGTACATTGTGCTTTTATTACTGAAAATTAAATATTCAACTTTGTTGTGAATTAATATATGGTTTATTTTTGTGTTTTTTTTTTAGAACTAAAGGTGGCCCACAAATTGCTTATGAACGCAGCTTTAGGTGGAAACTTGCTCACTTCCGTTATTTGTGCCAGGTACTACAGTGGTAAATAAATCTTATGTTCATAATCATTTCGTCTTATCTTTACACAATACAACTACTGTAGCTTACATGATATTATGATATTACTTTTGTTTTTAGTCTAATGCACTACCCAGTCATGTAAAGATCAATGTGTCCCGGCAGACATTGTTTGAAGATTCCTTCCAACAGGTAAGGAAGATTTTATGAGAATAAAATGATACTGTTTGTCTCATGGTATTCCATACATGTAGAGGAAGTTAGGGTTTTAGAGATTTTAGACCATCCAGAACATGGCTATAGTATTGACTACCACTTACTGAGTGCCCCTATTAATAATAGTTATATTAAACCTTACTACATATTTAGTGATTGTCAGTTGCTTGACACTGCATCTTATATTTAAGATTTTATTTTATTCATCCTCACAACATCCTTTGAGATAGCTCCTGTCTTATATATCCATTTCACAGGTAAAGGTACTGAGACAAAGACTACCATTCTCACAAAATTTAGATGTATACTTTCTAAAATAATGCTTAAACAGCTTTTTGGGCAAGTTGATCCAGTTTGGTATTTAATACTTAACTAAGAATTTAAACAAAAGAGTTGTGATAATGCTACCAAATTAAAAATAATTTGGTAGATACTGTATTCCATTTGAGCATTTCTTTAATAACTCTAATTGTATTCTCACCTTTAAGTTTCTGTTTAAATGTCATGATCTCACAGAAACTTTGTCTAAACATGCTCTTCAAAATTACAGTCCTGCTTACCTCCCTCACAGTCACATTCTAGCCATTTATGACACTTGGTTCTTTTTCATAGCGCTTACTACTACCCAAATAGTACATTTTGTGTGTTTCCCTTACTACAATGTAAGGGAGAATGTGAATTAGTTTGTTTACTGCTGTTTTGCCCAGTACCTAGAATAGTACCTTGCACACAGAAGGTATTCAGTAAATGTTTGATGAGTGAATAAATGAATGTAAGATGTCTGTCTTTCCTAAATCATCTGCAGAACATTTAAAGATAAAAAACCCAAGTACTGTATTGTCAGTTCTTTTTTTCTGATGTAGTCAGAATTTGTAATATGAGGCTTCTTGCTCCCCTCTAAAGTACTACAGTGATGAACCAAATTTCCCTGTGTACCCAAATCCAACAAGGGCTTTTATTTATACTTTGTACAAGCCAAAATGGAATAGTAACACTCTGAACTCTGACAGACTTTCAAACCCTAGCTTAATTTTACCAGCTGTTTGACTTTGTGCTAGATGCTTAAACTATTATAAAAACTTTTTTTCTTTTAGTTTGAGTTAGTAAATTCTTAGCAAAGTAAGATCAACTTGTTCTGAACTCTGTTTGGATTGGTTTTAGTAAGTGCATATCTAAATTCTTTGTAGACTTTATTTTGCTTTTTACCCTGACTTGGAGAGAATTGTGGGGTATTTCATGTGCAGGATTGGGCCCATGACTACTCTGAAGGAGGCCTGCTGGTGAGCTGGTACCCTAACCCAGACCTGCCAGGCATGACTGTGGTTCTTATATATGTGTGGTAGAAATACTTCCCTTCTATCTAAAAGTAAAGCCTACTTACTGGAACCTTGATGTAAGCGACTAAGGATTATGAAAATTTAGCATAAGTATTATTTTTAAGATGTACTATCTCATGTATAAAGTCATCATTATATAGATAATAATTTATTATGACTGAGTTCCTTTCCTACCGAGAAATGGAATGTGTTGTGGTATAATAAGCAGGATGCAGAATGAGGTTTTTTACCTCTAAGTGTTGCTAGTTAGGAAAATTTATAAGCCACCTATGAAAAAATGTGGTGCAGTTTAGGGGAATTTGAAGAGTGAGAATATTTTTTAACCTTAAAAGCTTTCTGTGTTAAACTCATCCTCTCTTGCCATTAACCCAAAGTAGAACTGTCATTTCATACTAGAAGAGAGGAAAGCAAGTATAGTTGACCTTTGAATGACCAGGGGATTAAGACACCAATCCTTTGCACAGTAGAAAATCTGCACGTAACTTTTGACTCCCCAGAAACTTAATTACTAATAGCCTGCTTCTGACTGAAAACATTACCAATAACGTAATAGTCAGTTAACACATATTTTGTATGTAATATGTATTGCATACTATATTCTTACAATAATGTAAGCTAGATAAAGAAAAGAAAATGTAGTTGAGAAAATCATAAGGTAAATAATATTTACCATTCTTGAGGTGGAAGTGGATCATCATAAAGTTTTTCATCCTCATTGTCTTCACTGTTGATAGGCTGAGGGGGAGGAGGAGGTGGAGAAGGGGTTTAGTCTTGCTGTCTCAGGGGTGACAGAGGTAGAAGAAAATTCTCATGTAAATGGACTCACACATCTAAAACCTGTGTTGTTCAAGGGTCTACTGTATATGAAAGTGAGCTAAAAAAAGCACTTAATAGATTGATATGTATGTCTTTATCTAGTTTGTGGAACAAGCCAATTGGTCTCTTGAGTCAAAGGCATTGATTTATGAGATAGAGACACATGTAACTTTGGAAGTACAAATTTAATTTAAATTGAATTGTTTTGAAAGAAACTTGAACTGCATGTGAGCGTTTAAATATTCATGGTTTTGTTTTTAATTAGATTATGGCATTAAAACCCTATGACTTGAGGAGGCGATTATATGTAATATTTAGAGGAGAAGAAGGACTTGATTATGGTGGCCTAGCAAGGTAAAATAAAAAACACATAACTACTTTGAAATACATATATCTCATCATATGTAAGAGAAGTAGTCTTGAAAAGATATGACTATATTGGACTGTATTTTTAAAATAACAATCCAGAATTATTTTTAAAAACTAAAATATTTGCACAATTCTAACAGTAACCATTTTTATTATTGCTTCTCTTGGTTTTCTTTCTATACATTTTCTATGCATATATATGTAAATTTATAAATGCATGTAATATGGTACGTATTTGCACTTCTTTTTTAAACAGAATTAATCATACAATGTACAAAATGCAGGAACCCGTTTGTTATTTTATGGAGTATGGACATCTTTCTGTATCAGTATGTATATGTGTGTGTGTATATATAGATATATATATAGGGAGAGAAAGCTAATACTTTTTTTAAAAAATGACTGTACAATAACTTCATTACACAGAGATATAATTAATGGATCAGCAAATATAGGTTATTTCTTATCTTATGCTATTATAACAGCATATCTTGGTTTTATGTTTGTGTTTTGAACCCAATGTAGGTCTCCTTCTTTTGAAAATAAAGTTTTTTACATTCCCTAAATGCATTGTTAGCACTAAACACTTGTGAATCAATATGAGTGGAAAGTTTTTTTATCTTTTATGTTTTGCCCAAACCTAATTTGGCAACAATTAGTTTTTTAGGAAAACATTTTGAGTAAATCTTTCTAAAGAATTCAAGTAGCTTTTCATAGAAACAACTCTCTTTTTGAACTCATATTTCACAGGTGTATAGATTACAAAATCACAGTTTTAATACAACTGACAAAAAAAGATACGGACCAAGCACAACTTGTGGGACTAGATGTATGATAATATATGTGGGATTATCAGAGTTCTGTTCATATTAGCATATTTCCTCATCCCCAACGTCATTGAGCTTTTTGAGAAAAGAAACACTACCTACCTAAATGTTCATATTACATCTATTGTGAATTTATCTCAAATTCAGAAATGTTTAGACATTAAAAAGGAAGGTACATCTCAGAAAGGAAATATAGTATTTTATTCTGTCTGTATTAGCATTTGCATTTTTTTCTGAACCCTTATATGACTCAGCTATTTGGGTCTAGTTTTATATTTTGATGGTTTTAATGCATATGCATTTTCATACCATGGTTTTTTTAATTCCTGAATTCTTTATTTGATTCATGTATTGGTGTTCTAAATTCATCATTAAATAGTTTATTTAAGTTTAAGAGAAACATTTAAGATATTTCTTATAGTCTGCATGTTTCAGAATGTTTTCTGTTGCTTTTGCATATAAACAACAACTTAACTAGATAAAAATGTATTACACAATCCTTGTTTCTCCAATACATATCCTATACACATTGCTTCACTGTTGTCTAGCATTGAATATTAGTATTGTGAAGTTTGAGGTTAGCTCCTTGTAAGAAACTTTTTTCGTCTGGGTGCCCACACAGTCTTTTTTCCTGAATTTCACTGTTGACTGTTTTATATCTTTTTTAAGGAACATATTAAGATCTTACTTAATTTCAGGGAAGTTTTCTTCTATTATGTCTTTGAATATTTTTTCTGTTCCATTTGTTCGATTTTTCTTCAGGAACATCAATCATGGGTATGTGGAATCTCCTTGTCAGTCTTACATGTCTGTTATCTTTTCTCTGGTCATTTTTATCTTTGTGCTTTTCCATTTTGTTTTTATTTTTTTTTTCTCAAGCCTATCCTCATGTCACTGTTTGCAGTACTGCCCTATATTATGCCTCTTCTAATGTGGTTTTTCTTCATTAGTGGTTTTACTGTTTTCTTCATTTTCTTCTCTAGGTTCTGTTAGCTCATCTGTTGTCTCATAATTTTTTCAACCTCTTGTGTCTCTTCTGTTTATTTGAGAGTATCAAGAAGAATATTTTGAAAGTTAATTCTTCTGCCTCTGGCTAGTTAGGAATTTTTCCTTCTTTTCTGCTAGTATTAGGGTAGATGTTAGGTGCCACTTTATAGCCATTCTTCTTTTGAATTGATTCAGTTTTCTCTGGGCTGCCATTTGCTAAAAATAATCTGAAGCATATGGAGATTTTACTCCTAGTATTCTCATGTGTCTAAACACATTCTTACTAGATGTGCTCAGTCCTCTTCCCTGAGGGCATGTCTTACTTCATCTTCATCATAGAGTGAAGTCACATGGTTCAAGTATTTCGTTGCAACTGGACTTAGTTTTATGAATTGGTGTTTATCATTTCTTAGTTGATTTTGTTTAGGGACTCCCTTTTCTATCTTTCAAGTAGTTTCAGGGATTGTGTTTTAAAAGCTTTAGAAAATGATGTGTAAACAGGCTACCGGGTTAGATCTAGCCTGCATAGAAATGGCCTTATTTTGATTTTTAAAATACTTTATAACATTTGAAAATCACTAGATTACACTTAAGAATCAAGATGTCTGGCTTCTCTTCAAAAACACTAGCTCCATATTTCCACCTTACATGGCATCAGTTGGCTGCCTCAGAGTAGCTGTTTCCCCTTTATGGTAGGATATACTGTTTCACTACAGTGTCCGCCACTGCCTCGTTGTCTAAGGACTATGTTAATGTGTCTAGAAATTCTTCTTCCTTAAAGCCAATAATTTAGCAGGGATATAATAATGAGGAATGGAGGATTGTGGCTAAGCAGAGAATGTGAACCCCATCTAGAGAATAAAGGGGGAAGCCACCTATACTCACTGATCACTGTAAGCCTTTTGAGTTTGGAACCCTGCTTTAGAAGAATTGCTTTTGAAAATACTTTTTATAAATTGAATTACTTTTTAATACCTGTATCTAGTTGGATTTCATATATTGCACTTTTTAAATGAGGCAAAGTATGTGGTAAGAAGTTAGAGAATGTTTATAACATTTGAAGATTTTGCCTTTTTAAGTGTAATTTTTAATGTATTAACACTAAAATTAAAACTATTCCATAGCAGCAGTGCTGTGTATCTTAGTATCACCAGTAAATATGTATACAACTTACTGGGTATAGATCTTAGAATGTTTATAGGAGTCAAGGATACAAAAAATTCATAGAAACATGACCTTTGCCTTTAAGGAGCTTGTAGTCTGTGGATGGGGCAGGTTATGTGCATAAAAATGAATAATATTTTGAGGTTATTACCACAAAGTATTTAGTGACTGATACAAATACACTGATAATTGCTTCAAAAAATTGCTAAGGTGAGATTTAAGCTGGTCTGAAAAAAAGTGGGATCTACATAGGTTGCTTTGAAGGAACATACTCAAGCAAAAGTATGGCATAGAAATAAGCAAGTTATATATGAGGGAGTTTGTGATTTGGCAACGCAAGAACTAGCCCGTAACTTTGAGTAAAGAACCAGATAGAAGGATTTCAATGGAGGACTGAGCATTTGGGCAGTGAAGTTGTTAAAGGCTCTTGAACAGAAATATGGTGTATGTATAAGTATATTTAAGATGTTTTTAAAGTCACATGGGTATGAATGCTAAAAAATAATCTTGACTTATTTTCTTATAGAGAATGGTTTTTCTTGCTTTCACATGAAGTTTTGAACCCAATGTATTGCTTATTTGAGTATGCGGGCAAGAACAACTATTGTCTGCAGATAAATCCAGCATCAACCATTAATCCAGATCATCTTTCATACTTCTGTTTCATTGGTCGCTTTATTGCCATGGTGAGTCCATAACTTTCAATTATTTTATTTATTTATTTATTTGAACTCTGCCTTTTTCAAAAGTATTAGTGAGAACTCAATCAAAAAGTTATGCATTTTACTTGGTAGTCGAAAATGTATTGCCAAGGAAGTTTTCCTAGAAGAGTATCAGGCCTGTAATCCCAGCATAAACTGGAGGTTGAGGTGGGAGGATTGCTTGAGCCTAGGAGTTGGAGACCAGCCTGGGCAATATAGCCCAGGCTAAAAAAAGAACAGAGTATCAAAATATAGTTTTTTTTGAGAACCAGTATAAAATCAAGATTATAAGGATTGTTTATATAACCTCTTAGTCTTTAAAAGTTCTTCTGTTTTATAAATTAAAGCCTAATTATAGTAACTACTTCTGTAAAAGGAAAACTTGAGCTAGCTAATAATTGTATTTATTATTTTTGAAATGTTTTGAGTTTTGCAGAAGCATTTGTAAACTGTTGTCTTTTAAGATGTGTTTGTATTTATTTATTTGCACTTAATTATTCAGAGTACCCACTATAGTACCAAGCATTGTTCTAGGCACTGGAGATGAAAAAAAGAGCTAGTCCCTACTTTCAGGGTTTAAAATTCCATTAGATAGAGATAAATAATAAATAAATATGTGTTGAGTGAAAGGGAGTGTTGCTTTTTATATACTACGGTTAGAGGAAGCTTCACTGTTGGATGGCAGATGAACAGAAACATGCAGAAAGCAAAAGACTAAATCATGCAGATATCTTGAAGAAGAACATTCTACATTTAGGGAGCAACAAGACAAAGGCTCCAGGGTAGAAGTGCATTCTTGATTTAGAAAGAGGTCAGTGTAACCGGAGCAGAGCATCTGAGAGAGATGTAGTGGGAGATGAAATGGAGAAGGCACTGTGTGGGAGCTTTAGGAAGTTCACATAAGAGTTTTGAGTAGGAGAATGCATGGCATGATTTAAGTAACATGATCTAACTTAAATCATATTAAGCTTGCTTTGCTGCTGTGTAGAAAAGAAACCATAATTGGGGACGGAGGAAAGCAATGATAAAACCAGGAAAACTACTTGCAAGAATCCAGCTAAGAGATGATAGTGGCTCGACTTGTATATTGTAGCAGCGGAGAAAGGGGGAAGTGGTCTGAATTCTGAGTATATTGTGAAGTTAGAACTAACAGGGTTTTCTGACAGATTAGATGCAGAGTATGAAAGAGTCAAGCATGGCACCAAAATGTATGGCCTGCCTGTCTGATTGCAATTGCCATTTCCTAAAATGGGCAGGGTTGAGGCAAAAGCAGATTTTGAGTGTGGGGAAATCAAGAATTTGTGTTTAGCTTGTTAAGTTTGTGATGACTGTAGACATCTAAGTGGAGATGTAGAATAAGTAGTTAGATGTCTAAGTCTGGCAATGAAGGAATATCTTAATTAGAGATAGGTATTTGGGAGTTCTTAAAAGGCTATGTGATCATTTAAGGAACAAGTGTGGAAAGAGAAGTAGTTCAAGGATGTGTATAAGTTGGAAAGATGTTCTAGAAGGAAGCAGCGAAAGAGCTAAGGTAGGAGAATCAAATAAGAGTGGTTCCCAGAAGACATGGGAAGAAGGAAGAGTGTTTCAAGAAGGAAGACATGATTAACCTTGTCACACGTTATGGTAGTCTGAGCAAGAAGAAACCTAAGAATTGATCATTGTTATCTGACAAGGGGAAAAGATCATTTATGAGTGGGAGGAAGATTGAGGGAAACAAAATCAAAAAACTCTGGAATGAGAAGTGGAAACAGCAAATATAAACAAAAGATCATACGGAATTGGTCAGTAACTAGAAGTGGTTATGGAGTAAAGAATGAGAGGAGAATAAAACATTTGTATTGCTGATAGTGATGACCTCAGGCTGGGTAATTTATAAAGAAAAGAAATACATTTGATTCATGGTTCTGCAGCTATACAAGAAGTACCATCATCTGCTTCTGGTGAGGCCTCAGGCTGCTTCCACTCATGGTAGAAAGGTAAAGGGGAACTGTTGCGTGCAATGATCACATGGCAAGAGAAGAAGCAAGAGAGAAACAGGGAGGGAAGGTGTGAGGATCTTTTTAGCAACCAGCTCTCAAGGGAACTAATAGAGCAAGAACTCACTTAACTACTTTTCCTCCCACCTTATAGGGCATTAATCTCTTCATGGGGGATCCACCCTCATGTCTCAAACACCTCCCATTAGGCCCCACCCTCAACATTGGCAGTCACGTTTCTACATGAGATTTGGAGAGACAGACATCCAAATAGCAACATGTAAGAGAGTAAAAAATTGGATTAAGTCAGTAATAAAAAGACTGTGAGAACAAAGAACTTGAGTAGGAAAGAGGAAGGGATTTATTTACTGCACACAGAAGTAATAAAGAAGTTATTTATAATAAGAGTGTATGGATTCAGATACTAGTAGTGAGGAAATATGATAGAACAAACAAGAGTTCTTTTCTGATTTCTTCTGTTTCCTCAGTGAAATAGGAAGTAAGATCAGCAGCCTAGAGTAAGGAATAGAGAGCAGGAGATATTTAAGAAAAGAGGAGTAGGAATGAAATAGTCATCTAGTGAAAGTAGGAGAGTGAATGTATTAGGGAAATATGATTATGAGAAAATATACCAGTAGGGAAACATGATTGTTGGTCATGAACCAATCAGCTTGGTTATATATGCGTATCTGGCATGTTCCATTGCCTAGGTACAGGCATTGAGTAAGTTGAGGGTTGAATTTAGGTAGGCTTGGGATTTTGATGGAGATACAGTGGGGGAGACAGCGTTTGAAGGTATACAAGGGAGTTATTTTTATGATGAAGTTAAAATCTAGACTGAGTAAGGGGAGAAATAACTTTATGAAGGGGTAAGGTACAATATTAAGAGAATGAGCTCACTGAATTTTTTAGATCTTCCAAATTACTGGGAGTGTGGGGCTTCCTTTGTTGGCTGCTGTGAGTAGGGGTGAAGGCACAATGGCAACTGTGAGTAAGAAACGAGTGAGACAAAAAGCAAAAACATGGAACCACCCAGTTGACCATCAGTGGTGGAGTGGATAAGGAAAATATGGTACATATATACCACAGAATGCTACATAGCAATTAAAAAGAAAAATCATGTCCTTTGCAGCAACATGGATGCAGCTAGAGATCATCACCCTGAGTGAATTATCACAGAAACAGAAAACTGAATACCATGGGTGCTCCCTAATAAGCAGGAGCTAAACACTGTAAGCACACATCCACAAAGATGGGAGCAGTGGACACTGGGGCGGTCTTAAAGAGGGGAGGGAGAAATGGGGACAAGGGCTAAAAACGAAGTCACTGGCTATCATGTCTACCACCTGGGTAACAGGCTCAATAGAATTCTAAGACTCACCATCACACAATGTTTCTGTGTAACAAACCTGCACATGTACCCCCTAGATCAAAATAGAAGATTAAAAGAAAGAAAAGAGTAGGAACAGGGCTTTTCCAGGTGCCTGGGGCCTTTTTATTTCTTTATCCAATTAGGTTAATTTAACTTATAAAGCATTTAGGAAGAGTGAGGCATGGTATAGTAAATAGAGGTCTTTTATTATCCTGTACAATTTTTGATAGTACATTATTTAGCTGAGTGTTGTGAGATAGATTTTGTTTAAATAATTTTTCACATTTAGCATTTTATATAGTATTTTACTTTTCATGATTTATGCCATTAACTTCCTAAATGCTTTGTTTGCTTGTAAAGTCTCATGGTTTCTCTATTATCACTGATTTTTAAGTAAGAAATTTTTTTTTTATGAACTTAAAATCTTTTTGTTTTTCTTTGCAGGCTCTATTTCATGGAAAATTTATCGATACTGGTTTCTCTTTACCATTCTACAAGCGAATGCTAAGTAAAAAACTTACTATTAAGGATTTGGAATCTATTGATACTGAATTTTATAACTCCCTTATTTGGATAAGGTTTGAAGATTTTTTTTTTCAATTAGGCATTTTCTTGAAAACCATTTACACATTTTGTTAATTTGTGTATATATATTTATTTTGCCCAGAGACAACAACATTGAAGAATGTGGCTTAGAAATGTACTTTTCTGTTGACATGGAAATTTTGGGAAAAGTTACTTCACATGACCTGAAGTTGGGAGGTTCCAATATCCTGGTGACTGAGGAGAACAAAGATGAATATATTGGGTAAGGTGATAATACTTTATTGAACTTAATTTGTAGAACATGTCAGAACTAAAACCTCTATCTTTACATGTAATTTTATCCCCTTTTCATTCCCTTTGGAAGATCTTCCCACCAGTGCTAATGTGCTAGAAATAAGAGAGTACATGGCAACCTTCACTAAACCCTCCATGTGCTGTAGCCATTCTGCCTTTGCCCAGTTCAGAAATACGAAACATTGACAGGAAACAGGGCTTTGCAAAGACTGTACTGCCCCTTCACATTTAGGTGAAGGGCCTGAAGCTCTGTTACATAGCAGCAAAACCAAGGCTGGAGCTCAATCTTTGACAGTCTGTCTAATGCTCATTTTCCATTCCGTGTCATTTTTCTGTGTTGTTGTTTTTTTTTTTAACTTATGCTTTTAGTAGTGCTCACCACAACCTCTGGTTTGAAACTCTGTTCTCTTGAATTTCGTGATCCTGTGTCATACTAATTTTTTTTACCATTTTCTCTTTATTTTTATTATTTTTTAAAGAAAGATCTTGTTTTGTCACCCAGGCTGTACTGCAGTGGTGTTATTGTATCACGCTGGAGCCTTGAACTTCTGGGCTCAGGCAATCCTCCCACCTCAGACTCCTAAGTAGCTGAGACTATGCACCTGCAAACCACACCTGGCTAGATTTTACTTTATCTTTTTACCTTTTTTTTTGGTAACGATCGGGGTCTTGTCATGTTGTCCAGGCTAATCTTGAACTCCTGGCCTCAAGCAGTCCTCCCTCTTCAGCCTCCCATAGTGCTGGGATTACAGGCATGAGCCACCTCTCCTGGCCACTTTCTCTTTCTTAACGGTGGTTCTCTAAATCTCCATTTCCTAAATGTGGGTGTTTTTCTAAGGATTTTTGTTCAACCTGCTGTTATAAATACTCTGCTACTATAGCTTCAATTTTCTATTAAAAATATATCTGACCCTTAGAAATAATTTCCATTTGCCAGCCAGGTAAATTCAAATATTTGTAGAAAAGATCTAAACAATAAACTTTTTAGATTTTCAGGCCATGTACAGTCTTATTGCAACTACTCAGTTCTGTGGTGTAGTGCAAAAGGAGCCATAGACAACGTATGAACAGATAAGTGTTATTATGTTCCAATAAAATGACTCATGGACACTGAAGTTTGATTGTATATAATTTTCATATCCTTAAGTATTATTGTTTTAATATCCCTTTAATATTTTTCAATGATTTTATAAAAATGTAAATACTATTCTTAGCTCATATTCTGTGCAAAAAGACAGATGGTAGGTTAGACAGGGCCCTTGGGCCAAAATTTACCAACTCTTGAACTACTAAAGGGTCTTAAATTCAATGTGTCCAAAATCAAATTTTTTATTTTCTCCTACCTATTGTCTCTTCTTGACATCTTCTATTAATGGTAACTGCAATTTTCATCCTCTTATAGACATCAATTCTAGTTGTCATCTTTGTTTCTTCCTTTCAAGTTTTTTATATTTATTTTTTATATTTCTTTCAAAAATGAGAACATATAATACAAACTACTGTGTAGCTTTTTTTTTCTGGTCTTCAGATCAGTAGGGATAGATCTAACTCATTTTCTATTAGCTAGATAAATTATGGTATATCTGTTATATAGTAATTAGCCATTTCTGTTACTAGGAGCCATTTAGATTGTGTCCAGTTTGGGCCGCTACCAACAAGGCAGCAGAAAACCTTAAGCATGAATCCATATAGCCTGATACTTGTTTTGTGGGATAGACTTATAAAAAGTGAAGTTAATGAATCAAAAAATATTTATTAGATGTTGTTATATTGCTTTCCTAAAATTTCATAGCACTTCTTCTTTCCCATCTTAACCTGTAAATTGCTATAGTCTTTCAAATTCACTTCCTCTTAGGGTCTCTATGTTTACTAAGTTAAATATATTCTTCTTAGTTAGCATGGCATTCTAGGCCTCTTGCTTTCTGGGTTTTTTTGCTAAGCCAGTCATCTGTGTGAGAGAAATTACCAATAACTGATTTTCTTCTTTGTATAACTTTCTACTCTCTAAGGTAATTTTGTTTTGCTTTATTTTATAGTGAGCGTTTATTACTCTTAGTGTAAAAAAACAATAACACTATATTTTGAAGAAAATCTATTCACAAAAGTAGTGCATAGGGCACTAGACTTTATATATTTGTTAAGCCTTAAGCCTTTCACAAAGTCCAACAATAATTATTAAATAGCACAACCTAAGTGTTTTAAAAATGCTGTCAGTAGTCAGGCATGGTGACTCACACCTGTAATCCCAGCACTTTGGAAGGCAGGAGGATTGCTTGAGCCCAAGAATTCAAGACCAGTCTAGGTGACTTAGTGAGTCCTCGTCTCTACCAAAAATTTGAAGAAAAAAAAAAATTATTCGGGCATTGTGGCACACACCTATAGTCCCAGATACTTGAGAGGCCAAGTCAGGAGGATCACTTGAGCCCAGGAGTTTGAGGCTGTGGTGAGCCGTGATTGTGCTACTGCACTCCAACCTGAGCAACAGAGTGAGACCCCCCAACTCAAAAAAAAAAAAAATGCTGTCAGTGGTTTCAGATATCAAAAGCAGTCTAAGTAAAATTTCAACATGTAAGATTTATATTTACTTTGAACTTTACTATGGGTTAAGGTAACTACCATTTAAAAAAAATTTTATCTGTGTAATATATGAGTCATTAACTTAATCATACAATTTTTGGAGGATTTTGTTTCCATCTTAATAACATACTTTAACTTGTTTTTTAATCATGCCCTTGAAAATGATGTAACAATACTCTTCTTTTTTTGTTGTGAGACCTCATTTTTACACCAAATAGGACCTCAGTGAGTATGAGTAAATGGATGGTAGAAGAACAGGTAAAGTACTGTTGGAATCCAAAATAGAAAAAGCTCAATTGTTTCTGCTGGAAGGAGTCAGGAAAGTTCTTCACAGGATGTTGTGTATAAGTTAGATCTTTTTAAAAAATGCTTGAGACCTTGCCTGACAGAGGGACAGCTTTTTGGAAAGAAAACAGCAAGAGCAGAAAAATTGATGTATTAAAATGATTAGTTTATCCTGTGAATCTTCAACTACAGTTGGGAATGGTATAAGATGCTGAGAAATAGTGGCTATATAGAAGCCTACTATGTTAGCCAGGTTCTAAGAAACCTGGATTTTTGCTCTAGGTTATAATGAGTCGTCAAAAACAAACCAAGATGGGATAATTAGGATTGCTTTTGGAAAGCTAGTTCTGGCATCTCTTTGGAGGATGAATAGGAGTGACTGTTGGTAAAGGGAGTGATTAGAGACCAGAAGGCTAGTTGAAAGACTGTTTCAGTAATCTAGTAGTCAGGCATTATAGGCCTGATACAGGGCAGATGCAGCAGAGATAAGAAGGATGAAATGAATTTTTGAGGATGTTTAACGAATAGAGATAGTTCAGATTCAATGACTGATTACATGTAGTGAAGGAAATAAAATATTTGATGGTTGAGGTTTCTGGATTGGTTGGCAGTTAAATTGTGTTAGCAGGATTATCCAAGGAGAGATGACCTATAAATATCTTAGTCTCAGAGGGAAGCAGGATTTGAGAATTTAAGAATTACTTACTTTTGCATGATAGTTGTAACTTTGGTAATTGAAAATAACATTTTTAGAGAGTAGCTAGAAGAGGAAAATAAAACAGAGATCTAAGTAACACCAACAATTTGTGGAATGTGTGAAACCAACGAAGGAAACTAAAGAGTTTTCCAAAGCCAAGTTGGGAATGATGGTGTTACCAGACCTGAGAAAAATTGTGTGTGATCATTGGGAATGCTAATTAATGCCCAGTGTTATAGGAAGTTCATGTAGCATGAACTTTGCATTGGGCTTGTCAATAAAAAGTTCTTGGGTGACATTTCTGTAGAAAATTTTTTTTCATTCTTTGGAGATGTTTTACAATGTGAATGAGAGGTGAGAAAGTGGATACAGTGAGTACAGTGTGCTCTTATAGTCCATGTATTGGTAAAGAGAGGACAGAGAATTGTGTAAAGAGACACTGGGTTGAAGGAAGGGATTTTGGGAAAGCATAGTCTGAAAGAGATGAGGACATAGGATAAGAAGGATTTAAGAACTGAAGGAAAGTTTTGGATGCAGCAAGAATGAAAGATTGACCATAGAAAAACATAAGACCAACTTCCTCTAGTACACAAAAAGAGGAGTTAGAAAAGGGAGGAGTATGGATAACTCGGCTTTCTTTGTATCAGTAGCTTTTCCTCCAGGTTGTACGTGCTTTTTTGTCCAGAGGGTTCTCACCTCCCTTCAAAAGCTCCTTGTATAAGATTTTTTCACTGACAGACTTTTTTGCTTATTTCTTTTTATTCATATTTTCCTACTCTATACTTGCTTTATATGTCTCCTCAGAATGTTTTACTTTCATCTTAGTTGATTTCTTCTTATGGTTAGAAAATCTTCATATTCTCCAATAAAGCAGCATGTAAAGAACCTATTCTCCTACTTTAAGCCTTCTCACACCAGGATCTGTATAAGCACACGGCTTGTGAACAGATTGTCCTTGCGTGTTATTAGGATACTCCCTTATTTCCCTGCTGTGAAAGACTTTGAGTCAGCATCTTCAAGTCTTTCTTGGCAGAAGCAGAGCTTGTTAAAAAACTAGTCATTTCCTTCCATATTTGGAGTTATTTATCTAAATATAAACAGGAAATAATTAGTGCTAGGATTTGGCTGTCATACTTACTAGTGAGGAACCTCTTATTTATTTTATTTCTTTATTTTTTTCTTCTTTCCTATTTATTTTTAAAGCATCCTTTTTAGTAGCTGCCAATGTGCTAGAACTAATTTCTTAGTGGAAAAGCACGTATTAATCTAAAATTATATGCATGCATATATATACATATACATTTACATATGTGTGTTATGTGTGTGTATATGTATATAGATATGTGGTATATGTAGAAAATGACAAGGAACTTTAGAAGTTCTTGATGTTTTTAAGTCTTACTTCACATGCAAATGACCTATTTTTAAATACCATCTTTATTTTCAGCTTAATGACAGAATGGCGTTTTTCTCGAGGAGTACAGGAACAGACCAAAGCTTTCCTTGATGGTTTTAATGAAGTTGTCCCTCTTCAATGGCTACAATACTTTGATGAAAAAGAATTGGAGGTTAGGTTCTTTTTTTATGCTATTGTAGGGAATGTTAATGGGGGGGGAGTAATTTTGTGCTCCTACAGAATAGTGTTCACCCATTTTTAAATCCTGTAGCACAATCTTAAATCCTCTCATTCGTCCAAATGTTTGGGTGTTATTAATTCTAGCATTAGGTGAGAATCTTGATTATGTTCTCTGCACCAATATGATCATCCATTAGTGCCAGCAGTTACAGGTCATAAGGAGTTATTAGAACATTATTCATAAAATTGAGAGCTTTCTGAAATCTCAGTTTAGTAGCAAGTTGCTCCAAAGATCAATTTTAAGTCATGAGTTCTTAGTGGTCTTAACTATATTTAGTCTTATTAGAAATATATCAGGAATTCTTTGTGTATGTAATAAAATAAGCATAATATAAAATAAAACATCTTAACCATTTTTAAGTGTTCGGTAATATTAAGGATATTCATGTTACTGTACATCCAATCTCCAGACTTTTTCACCTTGCAGAACTGAAACTATGTACCCATTAAACAACTCCCTATTTTCCCTAGCCCCTGGCAACTACCATTCTGGTAACTCAAATTTCTTAGAGTTTTACTACTCATGATGCTTCCTAATAAGTGAAATCATATAGTATTTGTCTTTTTGTGACTGAGTTATTTTACTTAATATAATATCCTCAAGGTTCATCCATGCTGTAGAATTTGTCAGAATTTCCTTCCTTTTTAAGACTGAATGACATTCCATTGTGTGTGTGTGTGTGTGTATATATATATATATATATATATACTACCACATTTTATTATCCATTCATCCCTTGGTGAACCTTTGGCTTGCTTCTTCCTTTTGACTATTGTCAATAATACTGTCGTGGATATGAAAGTACACATACCTCCTTGAGATCCTGTTTCAATTCTTTTGGATATATTCTTAGGAATGATATTGCTGGATCATATGATAATCCTATATTTAGTTTTTTGAGGAACCATCATATTGTTTTCTGTAGCAACTACACCATTTTACATTCCCATCGGAAATGTAGAATTTTAAGTTCTCCAAATCTTGCCAACACTTGTTATTTTCTGTTTTTGTTTTGCTTATAGTATTCACCTTAATGGGTCTGAGATGATATTTCATTGTTATTTTGATTTGCATTTTCCTAATGATTAGTTATCAGAAATTCTTGGAGTCTTCTTTTCCCATATAGATTAGAATATACACAGGGCATTAAAGTAGTCCTTGACATTTTCTCTCTGCCTGCTTTGGAATGCAATATTTCACCTGTAGCTATTTTGGGCCTGCTATTAAGAAACTTGGCTTATTCATATAATCAAATGTGCATATGAAAAATAACATTTTAAATTTTATACAGAAATACTCCTGTATAGAAATCAACCTTCTAGCAATACTGACTGACCTAGGAAGTTCAGTTATCAATTAGGGATTGGTTCTAGCACCCCATAGATACAAAAATCCATGAATACGCAAGTCCCTTATAGTATATAATAGAATAGTATTTGCATATAACCTACACACATCTCTTGTGTGCTTTAAATTATGTCTAGATTACTTATAATTCCTAATGCAATGTAAATGCTATGATAAATAGTTGTTAAAATATATTTTTTAAATTTGTATTTTTAATTTTTGGATTTTTTTTTTCAAGCTGCTATTGTTTGGATCTGTGGGTGCAGAACCTGCAGATACAGAAGGCCAAAAATCAGGATTCTGAGCCTGAATGACACGTAGACACTCACAAAACTTGGCTAACATCTCTTTCTTAATAGCTTACGTAAACCAATTGCAGAAGCATATTAGAAAAATATCATGGAAACAGTTTTTAGGGTAGTATTTATTAATCTTTTTAAAAATCACAGAATTTATTAAGAATCTGAAGAAAATTAAACATTCTCACATCCTCTAAATTCATACATCTCAAATATTCCATACCCCCGATTAAGAATGTCTGTTTTGGCCAGGCTTGGTGGCTCAAGCCTGTAATCTCAGCACTTTGTGGGGCCAAGGCGAAAGGATTGCCTGAGCCCACAGGCTCGGGATCAGCCTGGGCAACATAGTGAGACCTCATCTCTACAGTAAATCAAAAAATTAGCTGGGTGTGGGCATCTGTAATTCCAGCTACTTGGAAGGCGAGGCAGAAGGATCCCCAGAACCCAGCAGGTCAATGCTGGGGTGCCATGAGTGTGCCACTGCACTCTAGCCTGGGTGACGGAGTGAGATTCCAACTCAAAAAGAAAAAAAAAGAATGTCTGTTGGTCTATGACCATACTACCCTGAACACACCTGATCTCATCTAATCTCAGAAAAATGACATTTTAGAGGTCTGCCCAGTGGAAGAAGGATGTTGTAGTGAGAGCCATCTGTTAAAGCAGAGATGAAAGTAAAATAGTGGAACAGTAGAAAAGGAGCATACTTTCATATGTCCTTGACAATGTTTGCATTGTTCTCACATATAGCCCTATGAAATAGGTAGAACATACGCTAATTTACTTTGACGTATAAGAAGATTGAAGCTCTTTCTGATTGTGTACTTGCATTTAGCTGGCAGTACAGAGCTATAAGAAAATACAGATTTTGGGGTGTTTTTTTTTATTTGCTTTGTCTTGATTTTTACTTCTAGTCTGTTCTTCTTTTCCCATTTATTGTCTCTCTTAACCATAAATAATGCACAATAATGGTTATTCATACTACTGTTCAAAATAATGGCTATAAATAATCACATCCACTTTTATAGGTTAAAATCTATTTCAACATGAAGAAGATACAGCAATCATTCTTCATAAAAACTTTTAACACACTAGGAATAGAAGGCAACTTTCATAAAGGGCATCATCATCAACAGTAATAAAATATCATTCTAAGTGGTATGACTTTGAAAGTTGCCCATTGAGATTTGGAATAAGGCAAAGATGTCTACTCCACCACTTCTGTTCAACTAATGCCCTAGCCAGTACCATAAAGCAAAAGCAGAAATAGAAGGTATAAAGGTTGAAATGAAGTAAAACACTTTATTCACAGATGACAACATGATTGTCAACTTAGAAGATTCTGTGGAACCTACCAAAAAACTACTAGAAATAATAGTAAATTTAACAAGGCCATCGGTACAAGGTTAATAATAAGAAATCAATTGTGTTTCTGTATATTAAAAACAGACACTTAAAGCTGAGATTTTAAAGTTTCATTTACTAACATGTCAAGAAAAGGAGCAAATTTAACAAAAGACACATGGTCTCTATTTTTAAAGAGTCAAAACTTTGCTCAAAAAAATTAAAGAAAACTTAAATAAATGGAAAAATACACTGTTATGATTGAAAGACTCAATATTGTTCAAATGTCAGTTCTCTCCAAATTAATTTATAAATTCAACACAATCTCAGTCAACTTTCCAGCAGAATTTGTTGTAGAAAGTGGCAGGATGACTCTAAAATTAGAAGGAAATAAAAGGCTCTAGAAGAGTAAAAACCATTTTGAAAAAGGAAAAACTTGGAACTACCTAATTTTAAATTTTATTTATAAAGCTATAATAATTAAGATAGTGTTGTATTTGTGAAAGGATAGACAAATAGATCTAGAAAGCCCAGAAATAGTCCCACAAGTTGCTGGGCATGGTGGCTTAGCCTGTAATCCCACCACTTTGGGAGGGAGACTGAGGCGAGAGGATTGCTTGAGCCCCGGGGTTCAAGACTAGCCGGGGCAACTTAGTGAGACCTCGTCTCCACAATAAATCACAAAAAGCTTGCCGGATATGGTAGCATACATCTGTAGTTCCAGTTACTTGGAAGGCTGAGGTGAAAGGATCACCTGCACCCAGCAGGTCTAGGCTGCAGTTGCTGTGAGTGTGCCATTGCACTCCAGCCTGGGTTCAAGAGTGAGTGAGACTCCAACTCCAACTCCAAAAAAAAAAAATTCCCACAAGTATTCTGTCAGTTGATTTTCAGTAAAAGTGCTAAGATGTATTTCAATGGGGAAAGGGAATATTTCTTTAACAAATGATGCTAAAGTACCATATTGAAGAAAATTAAATTTTACCCCAACATCAGCCCATATTCAAAGATTAATTTAAGATTAATCATAAGCATAAATTTGAAAGCTAAAATGAAAACATAGGAGATCCTGATGTAGGCAGAAGTTTCTTAGGGAGAATACAAAAACACTAACAATAAAAGAAAAATATGGATAAATTGAACTTCATCAAAACCAAAATACTGCTCTTTAAAAGACAGCATTAAATAGTGAAAAGGCAACCTACACACTAGGAAAAAACTTTTGAGACAAAATTATTATATTCAGAATACATATTTCTTTGCTATTTTTTTTTTTTTTTTTTTTTTAGTTGGAGTTTCACTCTGTTGCCCAGACTGGAGTGCAGTGGCCGCTCCCAGCCACTGCAGCCTCGACCTGCTGGGCTCCGCGATCCTTCCGCCTCAGCCTTCCAAGTAGCTGGAACTACGCCCAGCTAATTTTTTGATTTATTGTAGAGATGAGGTCTCGCCAAGTTGCCCAGGCGGGTCTCGAACCCGTGGGCTCAGGCAATCCACTCACCTCAGCCTTCCAAAGGTGTGGGGTTACAGGCTGAGCCACCGAACCCGGCTTCTTTGCATTTTTATAACTCAAAAAGACAAGAATCACTTTTAAAAACTTCGTAAAAGAAGATATATAGATGGCAAGTAAACACATAGAAAGATGCTCATTAGTAATTGAGGAAATGCAGATTAAAACTAAATGAAATATCACTTTGGGATAGAGTTGGTAGTTTCTTATCGTGTTAAGCCAGAGTGAAATGAAATAATATCCACACAAACACTTGTATATAAATGCTCATTTCAGCTCAAAGCCAAAAATTGGTAGTAAACTAAATGTCCATTAACAAGTGACTAGCTAAACAAATTCTTGTGTATTCATATAATGGAATACTATTCGGTGATACCAACAACATGGATGAATCCCAAATACATTGCATTGAGTGGGAAAAAAATAGCCCGTGCTCATGTACTATTTTTGGCAAAAATATGTATTTTTGCATATAAATATAATATTCTCAAAAAGACAAATGTAATCTATGGTAAAATCATTGGTCACCTGTAGCCAGAGATGGGGTTGATTTTTTTTTTTTTTTTTTTTTACTACAAAAAGGGACATAGTGAAAACAGTCAATATCTTGATTGTGATGGTGGTCACACAGGTATATACATTTCTGGAAACTCATCTAGGTATATACTCAAATATGTGCATTTTATTGTATGTAAATTATAGCTCAAAGTTGATTTGTAAAAAAAAAAAAAAGAAAGAAACTAAAACAAGAACTAGGTATTTTAATGTGCCTAAAATAGTTTTCATCCCATATATAACAAGTTGGGGTTGTTTGAAATTTTCACATATGTAGAGTATTTTATTCCCAAAATAAGCTGGATAGATGAATAATAGGAGGCTGGCATATTTTGATTTTTAAATATATACAGTAGCATAGATTTTAAAAAGGAGAACTAGAAATTTATGTTTGAAACTAATCAATTTGGCTACCCAGTTTAGATATACAGGGAGTGCCAAAAAACAGTATACACATTTTAAAATGATGTTTACTCCAAAGAGGTATTAATCAAATGAATGCTAGCATCACCATGAGACTGGCAGGACCGTCAAAGAAAATGGCAGAAGGACAGTTGAGCATTGTCATACTATACATTGCTACCATAATTCAACTTTGAAAAGTAATACATAGATTATGTCTCTTAAATGTGTATACATTGTTTGGCCCTCTGTATGTATACACACACATACAGAGTATATTATACATACATATATATATATATATATGTGTGTGTATATATATATAATATACATATATAGTAAAGGAGATGTGCTTTTCAGTACAACTAATGTTTTCCTTGAAGAATAGTTACTCTAGATGTTTGAGTTTAATAGCCATAGATAAAATACCAAAGAATCCTTTATGCTAAATTGCTATAAATTTTATTGTATTTGCTTATTGTGATCATTATTTGCCATGCACATAGTTTTTCACATAATTATGTCATCATGTGCATAAATGTGCTTTAGATAATTTCAGTCAAATAATTATTCTCTTCACTAAATCTTTACTGTGGCCTGATTCTGCGCTCATTTCCCAGGTTATGTTGTGTGGCATGCAGGAGGTTGACTTGGCAGATTGGCAGAGAAACACTGTGTATCGACATTATACAAGAAACAGCAAGCAAATCATTTGGTTTTGGCAGGTATTTGCTTTTATCTTTTTGAAATCAAAGGATTCAAAGACCATATTTCCTTAAAAAACAGTGGTTTAAAAAATAGGTTTTTTTTTAAATTGAGAGTGCTTTGGGACATGGTTTTAGTTTTTCAACTCTAAATCTGAAGTGAATAGTGTGAACACTTGTTAAAATTATTTTTCATTGTTTCTTCAACTGTCTTTCTAAATTAAGAAGTGAATGAGAGTCTTATTTAAATAGTAGTTTAATGGTAATCATTGTAGGCACAGCATTTTTTCTAGTGGTATCAAAGTAGCCTATAAATTCCACATAACTCTAGAAATATATGAAGAAGTATGTCTGTATTGAGAAAGTCAGTGCAGATAGATACTTTAATTTCTCTAAAGTAACAATATGCTAGTGAATTAGAATATTCACAATATCTAGGGGATAATGTTCGAGAATGACTTTATGTATTACTTATTTATTTTTGTGTGCATGTTTTGGCTTAAACTGTAATAGGGTGGTCTCTGGAATCCAAATGCACTATACTGATCTTGAACATTTTATTTTATAGACTTTGAGAATTTAAAATCTCTAGTTCAGGGATATTCTTCACATAAATGTTCTACCAAGACTCATTTGAACAACACAATGACTGAACTTTTGGCCTACTTCTGATTGTCATTTTTAGGTAAAAAGTAATTTGGGATTTTGTATTACTATAGAAAGATTTCCCAAAATCTGCATCTTTTCATAAGGATGTATGTCATGAATCTATTAACATTTTAAAGAAGTGTGGACACTTCTAGAAACTTACCTTAAAATATACTTCAACGTGTGTAAAAAGTATCTAATGCCACATTATTGGCATACTAACAGATTTTAAACAACCTAAATGTCCATTAGGAGAGGACTGACCAAATAAACTACTATATATCTATCTGTGATTCTATCTTATAGTCATTTTTTTCCTTACTTTTTAAAAAATACAAATTAACAATAATATTGGAGTAATATGTTTTAATACAATGTTAAGGGGAAAAGGAAGGTACAGTGTGATTCTGTTTGACTAAAAAAAAAGTTTATATTCTGTGTAGTAGTGAAAGTGTCTGCTAGTATATAAGTAACACTGGAAGCAACTCTGGGATCTGAGCACCTGGAAGCACAAGCGGGAAAGCTGCTTTGCATGCTATGTGCCCTCTACTGCCTTTTGCATTCCATACTATTGCCTATTATAAATGGGAAGGAATACATCCATTTTTGAGCCTGAAATATCGGAACTGAAGTACCACCTGCATGTGTGCAGGTGTCTGTAATCTCTCTCCCCTTTAGGCTCTTCACTGGTTTCATTACACTTGTTCACTAGCTGTCTGTTTGGACATTTTTGTGTCTTCATAGCTAAGGAGCTTAAGCTTAGGGTCATATAAATCCAAATCAATATTTGTGTTTTCTAAATTGGGTTTATTTTAGGGAAAGTTGTGAGTTTGCCTGGGCATAGTGGCTCATGCCTGTAATCCCAGCACTTTGGGAAGCCAAGGAGTTCAAGACCAGCATGGGCAACAAGCAAGACCACATCTCCACAAAACATTAAAAAAATTTAAAACTGTTAAAGGTGATGAGGTTTATGGCTCATCTGGCAGTAAGCTGTTTGTGTGTGTTTTGATGAAATATTTGCCTCAGCACAATTCACTGAAACATTTTTAGTCATGATTAGCAAGCATTTTTTTCTTAACCTTAGCTAAAATGTATTCCCTATTTTTAAGATACATTACTTTCTATCTGCTCCCTAACTTCCTTGCTTTCTGTCATATTCAAACCAAACAAATGAGTACTTCACTACATTACCCATTTGTGTCTTTCTTTGAAAAGAAGTAGTTAATGAAATAGATAATTTTAGAAGAATATGTACTGTGGTTTTTCAGATACTGTCAAAAAGCACACGAAACTTTGGGAAAATGGTGTTTGGTAGGAGCAAATACTACAAGCTCTTGGGAGTGGCAGTAGGGAGGTGTTCATTTGTTTTCTGTCGCTTAAAAGGGAGAAGAGTAGTTGATTCAGGGAAAAATAGCAGTGCTTTAGCCCCGTACCAGACTTGAGTTCAAATGTTAGTTCTGTCACTTAGTAGTTTGAGGACAAATTATTTAACCTCTCTAGGCCTCCGTTTTTGTATACGTATTGGAGGGTGTTAATGATCATACCTGTCTCGTAGAACTGTTGTGAGGACTAAATATACAAAAAGCTTGTGGCACGGTGTTTGGCAGGAGCCCCCAGTAGGTGATAGCTCTTGTATTATAACCCAACAATATTTATCCTGGTTGCACTTTTCACAGGTATGACTTTAGACAAGTGACATTCTAAATCTCTCATTTATTTTCTGTCTGTGAGATGATGTAATCATAATAGTAGCCAACATATCATGTTATTGTGAAAAGTTATCAAAGATTCATAGTGTGCTTAGCATAGTGCCTCACCTTAATAAATGATAAATCCAACAACCACTTTTATCACATCTTTTAAGCCAATTTCAGCATTAAAGATTATTAATTTCTCTCAGTGTTAAAGATTATTAATTTCTTCAAGTGTCTACTACTTTCATTATTGAAGATAATTTAGCATTTATTTTATATTAAAGTGCATTTGATTTTATTACACAGTTTGTGAAAGAGACAGACAATGAAGTAAGAATGCGACTATTGCAGTTTGTCACTGGAACCTGCCGTTTGCCTCTAGGAGGATTTGCTGAGCTCATGGGTAAATGTAATTCTACTACAGTTTTTCATTAGATAATTTTGTGATGATGATGGCCTTTGGAAATAAAATAAAATAGACTTGAGTCTAAGGATTATTCTTCTATGCTCTATGTTAGGGTATCTGTCAGAAGAAAAAAAAAATAGTTAATATCAAAGACATTTGTAAGACAAAAATGAAAGTCTCTTCAAACAGCCTAGAAGACCATTGCTTTCCTTCCTAAGGTGACTGTAAAGGGAGCAAGATTCTATAAAAATAGTTTTCTATCCATTGTAATTGTTATTGCTGGATCTCTGCAACAATAAGGATTGTCTCCAGGTAGAAGCAACTTACATTGTGAATTTCTTCTTTATTCTGTATCATTCATATGATTATGATGACATGTTCTATTCTGTTACTTCACTAGTTGTTTAACTAAAATGTTTAAGGACCAGATAAAGTTTGTCTTGTTTTCCTGGTTTAGGAAGTAATGGGCCTCAAAAGTTTTGCATTGAAAAAGTTGGCAAAGACACCTGGTTACCAAGAAGCCATACATGGTAAGTTCAAGAATCCTAAATAGGGAGGTGAAAGCCAGAGAGAATCTTTTGTTTTGCTTTGTGTTTTTGCCAGAGTCCAGCTCCTGCCGGGTTCAGGGTACCCCAAAGGTGGAGACGGCGTAGGCGTTTGGGGGGAAGAAGAAAGAGAGAGAGAGAGAGAGAAGTGTGTTCTTTATGAAGCAGTAAAAACTTTTAACTTTATTAAATATTGATGCCTGAGTATACATCTTAATACTGGTGTGACAAAATATGAAGTCTGCATGAAGCACTTCACACCAGAGAAATGGTGATTTTATTGAAGGAAAGCCCTTGGGTAGTTGTTTGAGTTAAAGCTGAACAAGCTTACTTTTTTAATGGAGCACTATTTTTACATGAAAGAATGACCAGTAGTTTATTCAGACTTGGGTATTTGGCAAACACTTACTTGAGAGGTAATGACTTGGCCTGTCACTTTAAGGAAAACTGACATTGATACAATGATAAAAGTGGCGGTTTTAAACCACAAAATTAGAATTTTGGAAGCTTGACAGCTTCTCAAGACTTTACTGACAAGGTTAGTAGTATTATTAATTAAATGTGTTGACATTTAGAAAATCTTTATAACTTATTGAACCAATATTTTCAAATAACCAATCAGTGCATGATGTTACAAAATTATGCATGGGTGAAAGATCCACTCATTCAAAGAGCATGAGACACCAATGGATTTTATGCAACAAAGTACAAAATGTTCTCTGATAGGATTTCAGAACCTACATTGTACATAACCTTGTCAGATTTGGAATAATACCGAAGAATAATATCCACAATTATCAGAAAAGATTACTAGAGTATATCTCCATTTTCTAATTACTTATTTGTGTGAGGCCAGATTTTCATATACTTAAACCAAAACAATGTAGTATAACAGATTAAATGTGCGAATATATATAAGAATCCAGATGTTTTCTATTAAGCCAGATATTTAATAAGATATTTGCAAAACTATAAAATGAGGTCACTCTTTGCACGATTTCTTTGAAAATAGTCATCATTTTTCCATTAAAGTGTTATGTTTTTGTTGTTGTTGTTGTTTTCAATAAAATGTTCCCAATAGGCTGATTGCTAACACGGTAACAGATAGAAAACCTAGTGGGAAATTTTTTATGGTCATGTCCACAGCAAATTAGAAACTCCATTCTAAATGCTTTGGTAATGACCATATGTTTGCTTTCATATGAAAATTAATATTTCTTAAATTTCTGTTTTAACTTATAATAAAGTATCAGTAGATATAATTCACATAAATAAAAGAGAGATACTGTTACGATAAGGGAGAAAGTTGTCACTGGCTCAGAGTGAAGAAAGAAAAAACTACTGAAAGAAAGAATCGGGAAAGTTAGAGAATAGGCAAGTACTTACTGGAGAAACATGGATAAGAATGCTGGGCAGTACTGGATTGTTCATTTGAAATGACAACAACCTACCTGAATGCATGATTTTTCTCCCAGCAATTCTCAGCTGGTGAGGTACAAGGAACAAGAAAGTTCATTCAGGATTTGAGTTTTGATTAGTTAGTTCAAAAGAAGGAGAGGGGTGATCCAAAGTATTTACAAATACTTTTAAAAACACAAATAACAAATACATTATATCTTATAATGATGAACCATGACCTCTAAAGTTTTTTTTTTTTTTGAGTAGGGGTTTCACTTTGTCGCCCAGGCTGGGGTGCAACAGCATGATCATGGCTCACCGCATCCTTGACTTACTGGGCTCAAACTATCTTTCCGCCTCAGACTCCTGAGTAGGTGGCACTGTAGGCATGCACCTCATATCTGGCTAATGTTTTTTATTTTTTTGTAGAGAGGGGGATTCTCACTATGTTGCCTAGGCTGGTCTCTAATCCCTGAACTCAAGCAATACTCCCGCCTCAGCTTCCCAGAGCGCTAAGATTATAGACACGAGCCACTGCACCTGGCCCTTTAAAATAATTATAATAAGGCAGGCTCGGTGGCTCAGCCTGTAATCCCATGCTTTGGGAGGCTGAGGTGAGTGGATTGCCTGAGCCCACGGGTTCTAGACCCGCCTGGAGAACTTGGTGAGACCTCATCTCTACAATAGATCAAAAATATTAGCCAGGTGTGGTAGCGTGCGCCTATAGTTCCAGCTACGTGGAAGGCTGAGGCAGAAGGATTGCTGGAGCCCAGCAGGTCGAGGCTGCAGTGGCCGGGAGTGGCCACTGCACTCCAGTCTGGGCAACAGAGTGAGACTCCAACTCAAAAATAAATAAATAAATAAATAAAATAATTATAATAATGGACTGTGGAAAAAGAAAACAGTGAGGACAGGAAGAGGCTGAGGACAGGATAAAATGATGAGGAAGTAATGGGTTAACAGGTTGGCATTTTAATTGAAATAAGCTAGAAAGCCATATAGTTAGAGAACAGGATTTTTAATTAGAAAACTGGTGATGGGAAGGTTCAAGGTGTGGGCCTGGTGTCAATAACTGAAGAAAACAGAGGAACAACTCACTAAAGGTGAGAAGAGTGAGGAACTAGGAGGCTGTAACATTGCATGTCATCCCTGTGAATGATGAGTACTGAGAACCAGAGGCCAAAGCTTTCAGGAAATGGAGGAGCACGACCAAGAGGTCAGCAGAAAATAGCAAAAAGTTCAGAAGGGTTGCATAACTGGACAAAGTGTGGCCCGGATAAGAAACGTTTTATTGATTGGCTACAAGGGAAATGGTATATTTCAGACTAGCTGGGTATGTTTCCGTTATGGCAAGAGTTGTTAAGACTGTAAGAGACTGCAAGTCATGAAACAAAAGTACATAAGAACGGATTGGAAACATCTGAGATGGAGGACAGGTTGGGAATTTACTTAGATCGGGGAAATACAGATCAGTATTGGGATGAGCATTTGGGTGAGAACGAATGATCCAGAAAGACTTGCACCTTTAGTCTAAGTGATAAAGTGGGCAATGACATCATCTGTGATGGAATTAGTCTTGATGCTTCTCAGAGGAGGAGGCCGCAGGGTCCTCTGCGGTCATCTCCAGTGCTTTGCTTCGTGAGGTGGCAGCTCCCAGCTCTCCTTGGGTTGTGTGCAGTGGTATCGCAAGCCAGCAGGGTATTGTTTCCTTAGAGGACATGGGGTATGCATTGGTTCGGTCTCTTTCTTCTTTATAGGTAAAAAAGTAGAAGTTCCAAATTTGATTGAGTGTACACACACATATACACACATCAGATTCAAAGCCCCAACAGTATTTTGATATTCACTTAGAAAATACTCAGTAAATAATGAATGTATTTTAGCATGTCTCCATCCTTTTGTAAAACAGCACAAAACATAACGGCTGATATCTTAGAACGGAAGTCTGTTTGAGATGTTTTCAAGTAATCCACTTTCATGTTATTCAACTCAACATATACTAAATATCTAAATGTGAAACAGAGCAATGGTATGGGATTTCCTGATCTAGAAGATTTTAGAATCTAATGGATAAACCAGTCAATCATCATCCATATTTGGTTGAAGTAAATGCTAAAATAAAACAAATTTTAAAAGTTGTGAGGTAGGGATAGTATGTGAAAGATGCTCTAAGGGAATTTTAGCATTTGGACTGATTCATGATTAAAAGTGTATTTCAGATTAGGGTGCACCATCAGAGAGTGTAGTCATAGAAACAGAACTATGTGGTATGCTCGGAGAGCATTAATTTCATAGAGGCTACACTGAAGAGCGTAGTCTTACTTCTCCCACCATGCCCCCTCCCATCCGTAGCAGTTAAAAGTGGCCTTGGTATGTCTTCTTAGCAATATGTAGAGAAGTATAAAAAAGAAAACAAAAGGGGACACAGAGTGACTAAGGAGAAAATTATCTGATGGTCCAGAAACAAGATGATAGGGAAATGTATATACGAGGATGTAGTGACAATAGAAAGATCAGGAGGGAAAAAACAGGAGAAATTTGGTAGATAGAATGACAGAATTTGGCAAAGGCTATATGTGAAGGGTATAAGAGAGCTAGAAAGTGACTGTTGAAGGCTGAGGTGGAAGGATCGCTGGAGCCCAGCAGGTCAACGTTGGGGTGGCTGTGAGCGTGCCACTGCACTCCAGCCTGGGCGAAAGAGTGACTCTGAATCAAAAAAAAAAAAAAAAAAGTGAATGTTGGTCTCGGTGTAGGAAGTATTGTAAAATAATTTTTTTTCCTGACCTTACTCACTATCAGACTCTACCTTGAAGTATAAAGTAAAGGGGAGGACAAGATATGGTTTGCTGTATCACTGTCATTAACTTATTTAACTTCTTTTAAAATACAGAGAATAATATGGCCTGAGAATAGCACTGTTTTAATTAGCTGCTTTATTCCAAAGGCCCCTAATTTTTAGTGTTTCTGATCTTATGTGGGAGAGGGCAAGGGCAGAGGGGAAGTGGTGGGAGTGATAAGAAGGTACTTGGATAATCTGTAGAGACCTTCCAATGAGAAAATGAAAGTACAGAATGGTTCTCATTTGCTCAGGGCTATTTCACTAGTCACTAATAAGAGTGGGGACCAAAACCCTAGACACCCAATTCCTAACCCAGTTCAGTGCTGTATCTCACAGAAATATCATTCTACCTTTGTAAATTTAAAACATTGCTATTTTAAGCATTTTCCAGTATTTTCCCATATTTTATCAGTTAATCTCAAGAAGGAATTCTTTGAGTCTGGCAAGACTGAAAAAGTACCAATTTAGAAGAGGTTATAGACGTGGTGAGATTATTTGAAATGACAAAGAATGTATTTGTTCATTGACTGCCTCCGTCCCAGAATGTAAGTTCCGTGAGGATAGAGACTTTAGTTTTTCATCACCAGCTTCCAGAAGAACCTTTTGGGTTACCTCCCCTTTTTTATGTAAAATTATATATCTGGTATATAAAATGTTCTCAGTAAATAACTAATTGATGAATGAATGAGTGAGTGAATGAAAGAAATGGAGTCTTACCCAAAGAGAAGTTAGGAGGACTCATGACACATGTAACAAGAAAGAATAGTTTAGAAAAAATAATTTAAAAATTCAACTCTTTATACATATTCTACATTTATTTGTAACTCCATTTTTCTCTGAGAAATATTTAGTTTTTACATATGTCTTAAATTTGAATAGACTATTCTAAGAAATTTAAGTGTCAATATACCAATTAAGTATTAATAGTAGTAAACTGTTAGAATACTTCTGGCAAAAATTTTGTACGTATGAGGTAGGATTTAAAAAACGGAATTATCTTTTGGAGGGTAGACCCCTTATAATACAGCCTTCCTCTTCCAGGTAAGTGTTCTAGGAACCCATCAGCATCAGTGTACCAGCTAGCATTGTTGTGAGAGGCTATGTTTGGTTTCAGTGTATTTTCTTTGAGATTGTTTCAGTACATTTGCCCATTTCGTCATGGGTGGTTTGAGTGCCCTACCCAACCACACTGAATGTTCAAAAGTTTCTGACCAAAAATGGCATGAACCCCATACCCCGCCCTCCCTATTCACCCTATCTCACCCTGAGTGACTTTTTTTTGTTTCTCTGCATGAAAAAAAGTCCTCAAAGGGAAACATTTTGTTGAAGTGGAAGTGGTGAAACAAAAAATGGCAGAAGCACTAAAAGGCACTAAAATTAACAAGTTCAAAAACTGTTTTGAGCAGTGGGAAAAGCATCTCCATAGGTGTATTGTATCAGAGAGTACTTTGAAGGTGACTGAAAGTTTAAACATGTAAGAGTAAATAACACATTTTTTAAATAAATAAATTTTGGAGTTTGCTGGGTCCCCACTTGAATAGTATATATACATATATACATTTAGCTTTTAGATGTACTGTAAAAATATTGTATTAGAAATCTCTTCATAGTTTATTTTATTGAAAACATCTTGTCTTTGTTTTTGTTCAGTTTTAATCGCTTGGATCTACCACCATATAAGAGTTATGAACAACTAAAGGAAAAACTTCTTTTTGCAATAGAAGAGACAGAAGGATTTGGACAAGAATGAATGTGGCTTCTTATTTTGGAGGAGCGCTTGCATTTAAATACCCCAGTCAAGAAAAATTGCACAGAGAGTGTATATAAGCTGCTCATTCTGTACAGTGAATTTTCTGAACCTCTCAAAGTATAAATGTTTTCCGTTCTTCCACAGAAATATGCAAAACAATTCATCCTTTTCTACTTTATTTATTGTTCCCTTGATATGACTGACCAGAAAAAGATCATCCTTAAATTTTAAAGCAAGCAAGAGACTTTATTAAAAATAAGTATATATCTATATAAGCATATATGATAGTGGCTCTAGTTTTATAGAGCTCCAAGTGTATTAAACACGACAGCCATTCATTCAAAAAGATCTGGATTTGCTCTACCTTGTTTCTCTTATGGGGGGAAAAGTGCAAATTGCTCCGTTTTTCTCCCTTATGTAACATCTCCGGAGGGTGTTTAGTTGCATGGCTGTTCAGAAAGGTATTAAGGGCTTAGGTCAAATCTTTTTTTATGTTTAAAAAAAAAAATGCTGCTGGCTTTTCTGAAGACAGGTGCTTGAACCTGTCCATTTGTTTTAAATAAATACAATAAATTTTCCCTCTTTACTACATCAGTAATACAAAGTAATGAATGAAACCATAACTTACACATGAAAGTCATGTACTAGATCCAATACCATTTAGTTTGTTATAGAGATTGGAAAGAATTCCTTGAGCAGCATAGAGGTTTGTTTACATGTTACTTTGGGGTACTAGGTATTTGTGAAATTAAAAAGAATCAGGCAGTTCTGTACTTTTGTTTTTAAATCTGTGATGTTCTTCAAATTTGATTTACAATAAATTACAGTTTAATACTTAGGAACATATAAAAGGTAATGTGAGCTTTGCCACTTTTGTTTGTGTTCAAAGTTTTGGTTTTGTAAAACCAGATGGGATTGAAGAGTTATATAATCATTTGAACACCCAAACAAATATCTGAGGCTAATGATTTTCTATTAGTGTTTGCATATCTTCATTCCTCTCAAATTCATGACAGTTCTATGTACCTGAATTAAATAAGCATATAACAAAATCTTTTGGGTCCCCCCTTTTTACATTGATAAAGTTATTTTTGTCCTAAGTAATGCTGTTTGTTTTCCATTATGAGGGCATTTGCTGAACCACAGAGATGTGTAACATTAAAATCTGATGTGAATGTCACTAATGCTACTTTTAGCAAACCGGGCTTCCTAATTAATACAAAAATTTAAATTTCCATTTGTATCATGTTTTCAGTATGCACTGTAAATCTCATTAACTTAAAAAAAATTTTATAGCCATGGAACTAACTTCTTAGAATGTGATACCTGTAAATTTTTTCACTGCTAAGTGCATTCAGAAAAAAACTAATATACGGTTTAACTTCCAGAGTTTTTGTTTTGCCAGAAATTTTCTACATATTTAGAGTGTTCTGCATTTTTATTCAAAATTCATGGTAAATAATGAAAGACAGTAATCTACTTTGTTGAATAGACTCCTTTCCCAAATCCTAATTGCAGACACTGTAGTTATTTTCAAGCCTAAATAATTTTTTTAAAAATTCTAGTGTATATGATGGGTTATGCAATAGAGGGTGACTGGTCTTCAAAAATCAACTTTTACACCACAAAAGTTAAGTATGAGAAATATAGATGGTACCACATCTCTATGAATTTTGCTATAACAGACGTTACTAAATGTCATCCTCTGGAGGTGAGAATATCATTTAGCAGATCTAGAGCTTTCAGGTAAGGTTTTTTGTTTTGTGGGCAGGGCTTTGGGGTGCCAATCCCCCTCCTCACTTTCCCCCTCCTCACTTCAACTAAGAAATTACCACGTACCAGGTGAGGCTTCATGGGGACTTACAGAGACCAAACCAGCTTACAGCTTGAAGAACTCTTCAGGGCCTTCCACCTTTCATACCCGATTACAGATATCCAGACCTACTGGCAGAGCTGTCTTGATTTATCTACTAAGTAGCAGTCAGAAAAACCAGAGAAATGTGGTCTCTCACCTTCTCTCTTCCCTTCCTATCCTTGTTCTATGCTGGACCAACCATAAGGAAATTTGAAGTACAAGACTCACTGCCTAAACACAGTTCATGAGGAAACAGGAGTCAAGAAAGAGAGGCTCAGAGACTGGTTCATGTTGCTACTTCATTTTGGTAAACACCCCCTTCGCCGACCCCCATAAACTAAGCCCAGGGAGTGAATGGATCTCAGGCTCCACACAATTATATCAGTCAAAATCAGTTTAGTTGTCTGTCTTCCAAGGAAAGAAGCTACTGGTGTTTTGGGTCCCTCCCCTATACTTCCTAAACAGTTAAAAATGAAAAAGTTAAAAAAAAACCTTTGCTGATTTCTGTTACTACCTAGCTCTTTCCGCCCTGCAAATTAGGTAGGATTCTATGTGTCAACTACATTGTCAGGCAGCCTTGCTTCTGTTAAAAATGACTCCTGATGGGTAAATTGCATTCCTGATGGGTACTGGGAAATCTCTGGGTACATGATAGGAAGCCATAACTTTGGGCTTTCCTGAGTGAAAATTCTTGTAAACTGCATGTCTCTTATGAGGATCCTAAGCTGTCACCTGGGGAGATGATGGTTCTTGGAAAGATACAGGGAGGCTCTTCTACACAGACTGCTGTTGCTGTGGTTCCTGTCCTACAACCTTCTGAGTAAATTGGTGCCAAATGTAGCCTACTGTAGGCTTGTTAAGTCTGAACGAAGATCTGGCCTGGTGGATGTTGCAAAAAACAGAAATCTCTTTAACACTGAAATATGCAAATAAGAGAAAAGTTCTCCTATAAACACTCCTCACTTTATTTTGTTTTCTTTTGGGGTGGAAGGAGGTCTGTTTTAATGATGCTTCAGATGAGGAAAATGTGACAGGAGTCATTTTTAAATCTACAGCTAGTACATAGTCCATGATTAAAAACTCAGTTGGGAAAAATTTTTGCCATCGAGAAATTGAGAGCTTTCAGGTTTTTATAGGATCCAAATTCAGCTTTCTTCTCACATCCTCAAAAAGAAAGGAAACATCTGTAAGGAGAGGTAACCACCCATAACCTGTCTGTAATTATGTTTAGAAGAAATACTACAAGGCCGGGCTCGGTGGCTCAGCCTGTAATCCCGCACTTTGGGAGGCCGAGGTGAGTGGACTGCCTGAGCCGGAGGGTTTGAGACCCACCTGGGCAACTTGGTGAGACCTCATCTCCACAATAAATCAAAAAATTAGCCAGGCGTGGTATCGCGCACCTGTAGTTCCAGCTACTTGGAAGGCGGAGGCGGAAGGATCGCTGGAGCCCAGCAGGTTGAGGCTGCAGTGGCTGGGAGCGGCCACTGCACTCCAGTCTGAGTGATGGAGTGAGACTCCAACTCAAAAAAAAAAGAAATACTACAAACTTCTGTATATGTGTATGTGGGGAAAGCAACATCTCAGACCAGCAGGGTCAGCTCTGGAACACACAAGAACAGAGTCAGGTGGTGACTGCACAGGAAGGAGAATGTAATTGGGTCCTAGGGTTCATTCCCAATAGTAGACCTCACCCTAAGAGGGGAAATGCCAAGAACCAGTGTGACACCTGGTGAATCAGGCTCTTGAAAAGTCAAATGGAAGAGACAGTACACAGAAACAGAATCAGAATCTTGGGAAGGAACCACATTTTGGAGAAGGAAGCTATCCCTTAAAGTAAAGGGGGAGAGGGGCGATAAAACGGCCCAGCAACCATACTCCTGGGCATTTATCCCGGAGATAAATTTCATGTTCATTTAAAAACCCACGTCTAATGTTCATAGCGGCCTTATTGCAATAGCCAAAAACCGAAATACCCTTCAGTGGGTGGTTAAGAAACTGGTATATCCCTGTAGTGAAATACTAGTCAGCCCTAAAAAGGAACAAACTATTGATAGACTTTAGCTAGGTCTCAAGGGAATTATGCTGAGTAAAAAAAGACAATCCCCAAAGGTCATACACTATGATCTCATCTGTATAACATTCTTGAAATAACAAAATTATAGAGAACAGACTACTGCTTGCCAAAGTTGGGGAGGGGGGAGTAGAGGAGTGTGACTATAAAGAGAGAGTACTAGGGATCATTGTGATCATGGGACTGATCTGTATCTTGATCATGATGACAGTTAACAAAAACCACACATGATAAAATTGCATACTATACACACAAGTTGAAAGCATTTAAAAGTGATAATGATAACATCTGAATATGTTCTGTGGCCTGTACCAATGCCAGTTTCCTGGTTTTGATACTGTACTATAGTTATAGATATTAACCTTGGGGCAAACTGAGGGAAGAGGACTGAGGACTTCTCTGTACTATTTTTTGCAACTTCCTGTGATTCTGTAATTATTTCAAAGTAAAAATCTTTTATAAAAATTTCTATAAAGTATCAGAAGAATAGACCCTTACCTCTGCAAAGGTATCTCATTTCACAAAAACAACTTAGCAGAGAGTATTTTGAACTAATCCAACCTTTCACCTCCTCCCATTTTATTGCTTATAACTCAACATAAAATTATACCCCTAGGTAAAACAAAACAAAAATTTAAAGTCACTCCAAAAAGAAAACTGAAAATGAGAATAAAACAGTAAAATTCTTTGACACGATATGCTAATATGAATTAAATAAATAATTGCAGATATGAAATGGTTAAATGACATCAGGAAAAAAAGTTGGAGAAAAAGCCAAAAATATCTCAGAAATGGAGATAGTTATAAAGTATCTAAGGATGAATACATACAACCAAAAGTAAAAATGAGAAACATGGAAGACAGAAATTAAAGGAGCCAAGCAGATAAAAAAAGCTAAAAGAAAAATCAGAAAGTGATCTATATATATAGGAAAGAAGATCTAGTATGCATAAAATTAATTCTAGTCCTGAAAAATAATACGTAACAGTTGTTCTCAAAGTGTGCTCAATTAGGCCAATCTATAAAACTGGACTGGCCTCTTCAAAAAGTCAGTGCTATGAGAAGAAAAAGATGGGAGAACTGTTCTAGATTAAAAGTCTAACAGCAAATCAAATGCAATGTATAATCTTTAAATCCTGATTTTTAAAAGTATAAGACATTTTGGGACATTTGAGAAAATTTGAATATGGATGGATAGTAGATGATTTAGAGACTTACTGTTCATTTTTCCAGTTGTGATAAGGGTTTTGTGTTTTTTTTAGGAAGATGATCTTATTCTGAGAAGATGCATGCTGAAATATTTAAGGTGGAATACTGTGATGTCTGCAATTAATTTCAAAGGTTTAGAAATACATATTTATACACAAACACACACACAAATATAAGTTGAGCATCCCTAATCCAAAAACTTGAAACCTGAAATGCTTTAAGATCTAAAACTTTTCAAGTGTCCTCATTATGCTACAAATGAAAAATTCCACACCTGACTTCATGTGGCAGGTTGCTGTCAAAGCGCAGGCACACAACACAGTTTATTCAGTCTCTGTAAGGGGAAAAAGCCCTGTCATTTAAAAAAGCTATCCAGCGGAATGCTTTCACATCCCTGGAGGGCCCACTTCCTGGTCCCTCAACTGTTTCTGATGCATCTCACCTAAAAAATACAGTAACCTTTTTCTAAACACACCATCACAGTTGGAGACTGAAAGCCTGCCCTTGTTTGTTGCTGTTTAACAGCAGATGCAGGTATTCTGATGATGGACTGTGCTGCTTAGCATCCTAAACATGTTATCTTTTCACTGTATCAATGGTATGTCATAAGAGTGTTTTTACTGTTACGTATGCGTGAATAAGTTTTAAGAAAAAACTTACTGGTACCATATAAATTCAGTCAGAAATGATGGTGATGCCAAACAACCACACACCATCTGCATGGGTGACTGAGAGAGTGACACCTTTGCTTTCTGATGGCTCAGTGTACACAAACTTTGTCTCATGGACAAATTTATTTAAAATATTACATAAAATTACTTTCAGTCTGTGTGCATAAGATGTATATAAAACATAAATGAATTTCATGTTTACACTTGGGTCTCATCCCCAAGATATATCATTATGCATATGCAAATATTACAAAATCCAAAAACATCTGAAATCCGAAACACTTCTGGTCCCAAGCATCTCAGATAACAGATATTCAACCCGTATAACATTGTTTAACATTGTTAAATCTGAGATGGGTGAGCAGAGTTCACTACTTTCAGTTTTCGTTTTTGTTTAAAAATATGCATGATAAAACATAAACAACACATACCCACATGGTTCACTATAACATTACAATTCCCAAATCCTTCGAGAAAAATCCACCTACACATACAGTCTCAGATTTATCTAAAAGGCATTTAAGATACTCCTTTTTAGCTGGGCTCGGTGGCTCAACCTGTAATCCCACGCGTTGGGAGGCTGAGGTGAGTTGATTGCCTGAGCCCGCAGGTTTGAGACCTGCCTGGGCAACTTGGCGAGCCCTCATCTCTACAGTAAAAATCAAAAATTAGCTGGACGTGGTAGCGCATGCCTGTAGTTCCAGCTACTTGGAAGGCTGAGGGGGAACGATCGCCGGAGCCCAGCAGGTAGAGGTTGCAGTGGCCGGGAGCGGCCACTGCACTCCAGTCTGGGTGACAGAGTGAGACTCCGATTCAAAAAAAAAAAAACCAACAACAACAACAAAAAAAAGGTACTCCTTTCTTTGAAGATTTTGCAGTGGTGGCACTCCAACTTCAAGTGGCATTGTCCTGCCTACTTAAAACATCATAATATTCCATTAACATATATGTTCTTATGTAACATATAATACTCCATTTAGCACCCTTAAATTCTGTGTTCCTTTCATCCCAATAGGGAGTAGAATTTAGGCTTTGTCTAATGACAGATTCAATCTACTGTGAGACTATACCACATTAAAAAAAGGAACACTCCATTTTTAGTCCTCTCCCGACAATTCCTTAAGCAGAATGGCTCCAATATACCATTTAACTACTTTATACCAAGAAGCCAATATCCCAACCACTTAACTTTCCCTGCACCTTATTTGCAGTATTTCAACTTTGACTCAATCCAATTTGAAAATCCATTCCCCTGTTTGCCCCCCTCTTCCACAAAGCTTTCTTTTTTCTTGATGTCCTCCTATGTTGATGTGATCAATCCTTAGAAATCACATCACATTTTGTATTGCTGGTGTCCCTGATACAAAGAAATCTCTCTTTCTGAGCCATGGTAATTTCTACCACTCTTATAGTGCTATGACAATTACCTATCTTTATCTTACCTTGGTATTTGTGAAGAAACCTACAATTTCTCATACTCTGTAAAATGGTCACACTAAAACTGGGAAAAAAACAGCCATAGAACAGTGATGGTTCATGTATTATCTTTATAACTCAATAAAAAGGCCGTGATTATTAGCTATTTCATGTATTTTCTTCTCTGAAAGGTTCTTAATTCTTGTCACTGAAACTTGTAAGCAACTGAGCAGCTTCAGTCTGTATCTAAAATGGAAAAACATAAACAAATAAACACTACAGCTTAGAGACTAACTTGTGAAATTTAAGATTAGGATGTGGTTTCTAAGAGTTTCCAAAAATCAAATATGATACTGTAAGAATAAAATTGCTTCAGTGACCAGATGAGACCCTTGGAGAGCTCTTCCACTTTAGTATACATCACTTGACTTTTTAGAAATCTTATTTGTTCTGCCATATATGTCAAACAGGAATAATTCTGTAGTGCAGCAAGCAACCCATAACATCTACTTGGTAATAGTAACTAAACATTTCCAATATCAAAATTAATGTAAATGCCAATGAATTCACATTTAAAATGAACACACTTGTTTTCATCATTATGCATTTAAACAATTATGCTTTTAAAGAAGTTCTTAATTCATCTTTATTTAATAGTGCCTCAAAATCTTTCTGCCTTACTTTATTAGAAATGTTTTACCTGTTTATCCTCCTCTGTGTGTGCTGGATAATCCTTGGCTTTCATTAGCCAGAAAGCAGCAAGCTTTTTGTTGTGAAGTCTTAAGTATGTCTTTCCTAAAAGAAGCAAGTTTTTGCTGTAGAAGTTTGGATCCACTGTACAGGAAAGCAAAGCAAAATTATCTCAGATAAAATAGTCTTACTTTTATTTTAAAGGTTTGATTACTTTGGTCTAAATTTCAATAAATTTGTGTGGCCAATAAGTGATTAGACTAATTGGAATTATCTTTTGTTCAACTGTTCATATCTCAAACAACTATTTGTAAAATAATACCATTTACTGAAGATCTATAATGTGGTGGGCACACTGTTATTACATACATTTTTTATTTTCCCAACAATTTTATAAAATAAGTATCTCTATGTTATAGTTGAGAAGCTGAGGCTCCTGATAAAATGTAAGCCATGTAACGACAGTGATTTTCTTTTTAATCTCTTTTTGTTTCCTACCATAACCCAAATACCTAGAACAGTATATGGAACACAACTCACATTCAGTATACACTTGCTGAATGAGTGAATAAAATCATGATGATACATATATACATTAGATCATTTACTGAGAGTCAGCCATACTTAAGCGTAGAGAGACTGAAACAAAATCTCTGCTCTTTTGGAATGACAATGAAGAAAAATATGAGTACAACTAAATGTAATATAAGAATGAAAGGAATACTTTACCAGATGTACAAACTTTAAAGTGCTTTGAGAAACCAAAAAGAAAAAGTATAGAGACCATTCTTGGCTGAGGGAAAAGGATGAACAAAAAGGCTATTCATGAAACCATGAAACTATCTCACTAACTTAGTTTATGATATAGTTTCCTCCTAACAATCCCCTATATTCAAAGCATACTTTTTCCCCAGATACAATTAATGTTAATTCCACTTATTCCTTACACAAAATTGTCTTCTTTTATTTGAACATATCTGTATGGCTATGTTGATATACTTAGGTTTCCCTGGGGTTTCTTTCTCTTTCTTTCCTTTCTGTCCATCCATCCATCAAATTTACCAAGCACAGTGCTGGACCACGAGGATGCAATTGTGAGCCAGAAAGACAAAGTTCCCATTTTCCCTGAATTTACAGTCGTAAACATGTAAATAATATTCATAGTATAAATGATAAGTGCCATGATGGGAGAAGTAAAAGATACTAAGGGCACAGGAGGAGCATCTGAACTTATTCTTTGGAAGTGACCCCTAAGGTAAAGTCACTGGAGAACAATTAGCAAGAATTATCTTAGTTCCATGAGGGCAGGAACATGTTTTTCTCAACACCAATCCTTAAGTCTCTAAGGTCTTATTTTTACTTTGTAATTAGACTTTTAAACCTCTTTGAAAAAAAATCATTTTTAGATTCACATTCATGATATGTGAAACAGTTTGGTCATGAGAGGGCATCAATAAAAGGCAATAATGAGTTTAAGTCAGAATTTATGAATTACAGAGAGATTTAATATTCAGACATAATTCTTTAGAAGTTCTTGAAGTTCTTAAAAACTGCTATCATGAAAGCATTTAAACAAGTCCATATGTGTATGATCTCAAATTTAATAAACATGATGTCTTCTTATATATGTATGTATGTTCATATATATTTACAATGATTTTTATGGTATATTTGGTAACATATACTTAAGTCCCTTATTTCTCTCACTTAGTGTTATTGAAAGGATAGACTTAGGATAAGCTGGTGATAGTTTTACAGGGCTAGTCATTATTTCAAACAAGAATAACATGAAACTCTAGTTCACAAAAGAAGTCAATATCTGCAACAGAGCAAACTAGCCTAGTTTAAAACCACGTAAATGCCTCTAATTATTAATAGATGTGTAATCTCGAATAAGACGGTTAACATGTCATAGACTCCTCTCAAAAAGAAAGGCTGAATTACATCAAAGAACCACTGCAGAACTGCAACTCTAAATTCAGTGGCAGCCCATTTACCATTCAAGTGATCTTCACTGAATAAAGACTTTAAAAATTGTTTTACACTATCTAGTAAAAAGAAGTATAATAGAATAAAAATCTTTTAGAAATTCCTATTACAGTATATGTCCAGCATTCATACAATTTTAACTAATGAATATGCAGAAACAAAAATACCTTACCTTGTTCTGCCCTGTGAAAGTAGCCTAAGGCCTGTTGAAAACACAAAGAGCCCAAACATAATGAAAAAGATTAAAACAGAAAATACTGAAAATTATTTTCTCAAAGATCTATTACTGTATTTATTCCTACATCAAATATGTCAGGAAATAAAGCATCTTAAAATGGTAAATTCTTCAACACTGAGAGTTAACATAGCAAAACTGAACATAACACTATTAAATCATCAGAGATTAAGATTATAATTTCTGGTAATAACTTGGTTGCTGTTTAGAATTTATACCAAACAATTATCATGTGGAAAGAACATTAACATGTGTAACCCAGCTATTATGACCATTAGTGACTACTAATAAAAACTAAATGCAGTCAAAAACTGAATTGATTCAGTGACACATAGGTTGTACCAATGACTTAAAAAGTGAGATGGGGTCTCACTATGTTGCTCAGGCTGGTCTCAAACTCCTGGGCTTAAGTAATCCTACCTTGGCCTCTGGGATTATAGGCATGAGCCACTGTACCTGGACAATTTTTAAAAGTCCATTATTATGGAAAACTCCAAAATATAATGTTATTGTGAGTCTGAAACTCTTTACTAATTCTTTTTTGTCCCACTTAGTCTGTTTTTATAATGCATAATCTAATGACATTTGATTTCTTAGAAACATAACTGATTTGTTATAGTAGAGCTGACTAAATCTTTTATCCTTAGAAAGCTTTATTTTTAATAACATTATTTCCCAACTGTGTTCTAGTTATTCAACGAAGTATTCTTTATATCAGCTTTTACACTCTAGCTTTTCAGGGTAAAAAAAGCTCTTTGCTACAATTTAAGTAGCTATTTCAATTGCTATTTCCTTACTCTGAAAATTTTGTGATGAGTAAACCCAAAATGATTAACCAGAAATCCCTTCCAAATTTTGTGTTTAATAGGAAAAGTAAAAGGCCTTGAAAATGAGAATATGAAACTTTTATACTCATTTTTTATAAAAGTTGTAATTACTCTTCTTTTATAAATTAAACCATGTGCTTTATTTTCCTAAATGACTGTATTATGGTATAGAATGTACCTAAGACATGCTTGGTAACAGTTGTTTTCTCTCTTGTTCTATTTCACAACTTTTATAAGGTATGGATTTCAAATAGTAAATGAAGGCAGATTTTAGCCATGAGCTATTTTAGATGACAGTGTTCCAGAATTATCAGCCACTCACCCAAAGGGCTTAAAAAAAAAACACTCACCAGTAATAGATAATAAGTATTAAGCCTTTGTGATAAGAGTTGAATTATCATTAGAAACTTGCTCAAGTCCCTCACCGAATCAGAGCTCCACATGTGTGAATACTGTAGAATGGCATGGCGCTGTGGTTAAGAAATTGATACTAACTTAACAAAGGACATCATACTACCTCCTCATAGGTGGAACTAGGAGGAGTTGCAAACAGCATTTTAGCAATTCTTCTTTGATACCAAGGCATTTCAGCAAATGTATAGCACCTACAGGGAAATAAAATAACTGTATACATTCAAGTTGTACCTTTTCTCTTAAAGAACTAAGCATCTTAATAGTTATCATGAAAGGAGTCTTATGTTGTATATTTAAACAATTTGTATTTTACATGATATTCACTAGATAATCTAGAGACTGACATATTGATTCATTAGCTGGGATGTATTTTGTGATTAAATATAAATAGTAAGTAACAGCACTAGTAATGGTAATACGATATATTATCTAGCACTGAATGCTTACTTTGTGCCAGGTGTGGGACTAAATGATTTTTCTCTAATCTAGTCCTTACAACAACTAAATGAGATAGGATCATTTCCCCTATTTTTTATATAAGAAAATCTTAGAGAAGTTAAGAACCTTACCCCCCCCAAAATGACGAAGCTAAACATCAAATGCATAAATAACAATAGAAACCAACAATTTAAGTCCATTTTTAAAGGGGTGAAGCAAATGATCGTTACAATTTTCTAAGCAGGAAAAAAAGAGTTGGGTCTTTGACTAGGATCTCAACTTGAGGCAAAGATTGTTATCTCATTCATGTTTGCTTACTATCATCTAATTTAGTAACTGTCCCTCAACTGTCATCAATCCTCAGTGTTTATTAGTTTAATATTAATATATTCTTTATCCTGAAGGATATTTCTCTTTTAAAAGAGTTTGACACAGGACGGTCAACACTGTTATCCCTCTTAGATGCCAATTAATTATTTAGCTTTGCAGCCCACACCCAAAGAAAACAGTGGCTAAAGTGTCTTAAAATAGACTCTTAAACCAGCAACTATTTAACACATTTGTGCACCAGCAAAGTAATACTCTACATTGGACACAGATCACATAAAAATAGAAAGATAATGAAAATCAGATTATATTGTTCCTCAGATTAATCAAGACAGTATTTGACACACTTTGAAGATGCAAAGACTCTCTTGGGGGATTCTACTATATTACTACAGTTAGATTAATCCCATTTCATTTAGAATGGTAAACGAGAATAGTCTTTTCCCACTAAGGGATTAAAGATTAGAAAAAAGTTTTATGGCCTTTTTAGTCTGTATATGTTGCTAAATGACCTGAATAACAGTGTTTAACATGATCACAATCAAATTTAATATGTTCTAATGATACATGCATAACTGCCAGTTAATAGGCTTAAAATCCTAAACTCTGCCAAATAATATTTTTAAATGCTTGCTTTTTTATAGTATAAAATATTTACATATACTGCTGAAATATTCATTTAAAGAAATTTTCTTACCATATGCCCATAAGGTGAATTGAAGTGGCATCTTTAGGGTTCAGTTCAATTGCTTTCTAACAAGAAATGAGAAATCAATCATATTTGTTTTCTAAGCACCAATAAGTGCTATACTGTATTTGCTGAAAAAGACATGTTTTTTTAAAAAATTGTAATCCTGAGTTTCAATTCTTCTTTTAAAATCAGTATTAACTTCCTTCCTCAGCCAGGTGCAGTGGCTCAAGCCTGTAATCCCAGCACTTTGGGAGGCCAAGGTGAGAGGATTGCTTGAGCCCACAAATTCAAGAATAGTCTGGGCAATTTGGCAGGACCTCATCTCTACAATAAATCCAAAAAAAGTTAGCTGGGCATGGTAGCTTGCACCTGTAGTTCTGGCTACTTGGAAGGCTGAGGCAGAGGGATCGCCTGTGCCCAGCAAGCTGATGCTGGGGTAGCTGTGAGCGTGCCACTACATTCGACCTTGGCGACATAGGGAGACTTCAACTCAAAAAACAAACAAACAAAAAACTTCCTTCTTCCTGATTCTTTGATTAAATTAGTTTCATACACTATTAATGACCTGTACAAAGGCAACTATTTCATAAGGTCCAGACATTGATTATAAGGTCTGTCAAGATGAGAAAAAACATGGAAATATATAAATGAATTTAATTTTGAAAACAAGAATAATCTATAGTTCTCAATGTTTCTTCTAGAGTAAAGAAAAAATGAATAAGAAAGCCCTTTTTTGGTAAAGCCTAGAATATTGAATAAAAGCATTCTTTCCTAAAAAAACTTCAAGTACGTTTAAAAAGTCTCTTCTTGTATACAGTTTTTGTTCAACTACCTCATCTGTACTTATCAAAGGAAAAATAAACACTATTCATAAAATATATTAATAGAATAATTATGTACAATGTAAGATATGTTGATGAAATCTCACTTACTATGTGAATTAGTATAAAGCATAAATTATAAAATAACTTGAAAGAAATTCCTCTTCCTTTTATCATTTTTTTGAAATGAGGGAAATCTCACGGATTAATGCTGATCTTATTCAAAATAAGACATTATTTTTTTTCCTTTTTTTGTTGATTTTAATTAAGACTTTTCAGTTTATGCTTTTCTATAAAACCCATGTCTTCTCTTTTAAGATGATAATGTATACGGTACACATTTTCAAATATTTATAATGATTAAGAGCATGGTTTGATATACAGCAATAGATAACTAAAAAATCTATTCAGAAAAATATTGACTTTTTAAATTCATGAACTTTAATAATTTCATCAGTACCTCAAAATGCTCCTTGATAACGTATGCATTTGCAATTTTAACCTTGATGCCTTCATAATCTCCAACATCACTAATGCAGATTGCATACCACTAAAAATAGAAAAACAGGGAAAGAATAACAATATTCTTAATATGCCATTCTATACAAGGTAAAACTGTGTAGTTATTTATTCCTCAATAGTCATTCTCATTCAACAAAAAGTTACTGAGCACAAAAAACGGTATTAAAGTGGAATATACAAAGAAAAGTGGATATGTCCCTCTAGGAACCCAGGGATAGGACATGTCAATAGAGAACTATAGTACAAGGTAGAAAGTGGTGAATTATCAAAGAAAGTTACCAACACAATGACAGGATAATGGATCATGTTTATACCCTGAGTGAGGCAGGGGTGCCTCTGCAAAAGCAAAAATGCAGAGGCAAAAGTCAGGAAAAAAAAATATGTTACTTTATTCCTTGTTTTTATAAGTTACCCTACTTTTTGTTTTTGTTACTTCCTGGTTCTTTGTGCTACTCTTTTCGACAGCTTTTCTCTTGGGTGGGCTACATGTTCAAACTTTTGGTGAAATCCAATCAGGATAATGATCTTGTAAGCCTATCAACAAATAGGACAAACAAACAAATAGGGCAAACAAAATAATTAAGTAAAACCAATCAGTGTATAACATGTAATGCTAACTGCAGCCTCGAGCTACAAAATATCCAATCAAATGAATAATGCCAAACTACAACATTATAAGGAAGATCAAGAGGTTACAATGCAAAGAAATAATATACAAGGCAATGCCTCGCTGCTTTCAGGGCTCAGCCTTTGGATGCAAATACGCTGAGCCGATGCCGGCACAAATAAACGCTGCTTCCTGGCAAAGTAGACTCGTCCCCGTCTCTCTCTGTAAAGATTCCCACTATGGCGTGGTAGCCCGCACCTGTAGTTCCAGCTACTTGGAAGGCTGAGGCGGAAGGATCACGGGAGCCCAGCAGGTCGAGGCTGCGGTGGTGGCTGGGAGCGTGCCACTGCCCTCCAGCCTGGGCGCCAGAGTGAGACTCCAACTCAAAACAACAACCAAAAAAAGATTCCTGCTACATGAGTATAAATTTAGAAGAATTTGTAATTAAAATGTTTTATCTTCTTACCCTTTTTTGGAAGCTGCCTCTCCTCTCACATTGCATTGACCTTGTCCCCATAGCCTTAATTGGACAACAGAACCAAACTGAGGACAATCTGAGTTTCCTCCCCAAGAAATGAATCTAAAATACCCAAGCTTCATAAACCCAGGTGCTGTGGAACTTCACAAGACTTAGTATAAGGAGGAAAAAAAGTCTGCAATGAAAAAGATTTTCAGATAACAGGGGAGGAAAGACAATGAAGCCACAGAGTGATCAACGTGACTTTTTTCCCAAGGCCCAACTGTACCCTGCCTTTGAGTTCTATAAAATACAAGTTTCAGGCTGGGTGCAGTGCCTCACACCTGTAATCCCAGCACTTTGGGAGACCAAAGCAAGAGGACTGCTTGAGCCCAGGAGTTCGAGACCAGCCTGAGCAGCATAGCAAGACCTTGTATCTACAAACAAATCAAAAAATTAGCCACTTGTAATGGTGTGCGCCTATAATCCCAGCTACTCGGAGGCTGAGACAGAAGCATCACCTGGGCCCAGGAGGTCGAGGCTGTGGTGAGCTGTGATCATGCCACTGTGCATTCCAGCCTGGGTGACAGAGTGACACCCCAACTCAGGGAGCCATGGAATGCCCTAAAGCTGAAATGTATAAAAGCTGAAATGTATAAAAGCAGAGCTCAGAAATTTGGAAAACTCTCAGTTTGGTCAGACAGTAGAGAAGGAAAGAGTGTTACACAGGAGAGGAATCCAAGGGTGCCAAAGAGAAGCACTTGCTTGTGCTGCAGGGCAGCCACTTGTAAGAGCTAAGCAGGGATAAAAGAGAGCCAGGTGCAAATTGTCAGAACAATGGCAAAAAAGCCCTGAAGGCATTTCAGAAATCTCTGGGGCTTACCCCATAACACAGGCCTAGAGGCCTAAGAAGACAGAACGGTTTTGGAGGATAGATCCAGGACACAGCTGCCCTGTGCCACTGTTGCTCCCTGCATCCTGGCAGCTGCAGCTCTAATCATGGCTCAAAGGGCCCCAAGTACTGCTCAGGCTGCTACTCTGGAGAGTACAAACTCTAAGCTTTGGCAGCACCCAAGTGGTGCAAAAGTCTGCAAGCACCCAGAATGTAAGAATGAGGGAGGATTGGCAGCTTCCACCTAGGTTTCAGAAGATAGATCAAAAAGACTAGGTACCTAGGCAGAGTCTGACACAGAGCTGGAGCTGCCACAGAGATCAACTAGGGCAGTGCTGAATGGAAATTTAGGATTGAAGGCCCTACGCCAAAGAGTCCCTAAAGGGAAACTGCCCAGTGGAACTATGGGAACAAGGCTACAGCAGAAACCCCAGAATTATAGAGCCACCAGAAGCCTGCAGCCCTAGCCTGGAAAAGCTACAAGCACTTGACTCCAACCCACAAGATCAGTCAGGTAAGCTGCACCCAGCAAAGCCTGGGGGTAGGGCTGCCAAAGGCGTCAGGGCCCTACACCTTACACTAATGTGCCCAGGATGCAGAACATGGAGTCAAGGATTATTTGGGAGCTTTAAGGTTTAACGTCTGCCATACTAGGTTTCAGACTTTGTGAGGACTGTTACTCCTTTATTTTGGCTTACTTCTCCAATTTAAAACAGGAATGTTTACCCATTGCCTGTACTACCATTGTATCCTGGAAATAAATAACTTAACTTTGAGTTTTCAGTGTCACTGCAGTAAGGAATTTGCCCTGAGTCTCAGATGAGACTTTGGGACAAATTAAGAATTTTGGGAACTGTTGGAAAGAGATCACTGTATTTTGCATGTGAGAAGCGAAAGGGTAAAATTCCAAAACGGAATGATTTAATTAAATAATCTTAACTAAAGTGCAGCCATTTTAACATCGCTTAGCTTTGTCATGTTTTTCCAGCAGTTCACTTTAATTTACCCTCTAGTCATCAGCCAAGGACAGAACCATTTTCCCAGAGATAGCTATTGATAATTTACAACCCCCTACCCCAAGCCTGCTTTATACTGTTTATTTTCTACTCCAAGTTTGTCTTTTAGCCATAAAGAACCAGGATGAACCCACCCATCTGCCTGCCCCTTCCTGATGACTTAAAAGAGACTACCACCGCAATCACCTTAACGACCTACCCCCACACCAAAGGAAAGGCTTAAAAAGCAATCAACCTCAAGCAGCCGGCCATGCTTCTCTGTAAGCTCTGGCCTCTTCCCTATTCTGAGGGAGGTGGATCCCCTTTTCTCTCTCTAAACTACTTTCTAAATAAACCATATTTTCACATCAAATTTCTGTGCAATTCTTTGCATCTTACCTGCACCATTGACTCACCACACCAGCCCCTGACCTAACAATCTTCTCAGACCTAATAGTTTTAGAGACCTAGTAAGAAGGATATATGATTGGGGAGAGGGACTATGGGCAAAAAGTTTGGTTTATTTGGCCCCTCCAAATCTCATGTGGAAATTTGATCCCCAGTGTTGGAGGTAAGGTCTAATGAAAGATGTTTGGGTTGTGGGTGGGAGGATCTCTCATGAATGGCTTGGTGCCATTCTCACAAAAGTGAGTTCTCACTCTTAGTTCCCACAAGAAAGAGTTGCTGAAAAGAGCCTGGCACCTGCTCCTCTTTCTCTCCCTTGCTTCCACTCTTGCTAGTCTCTGCACATGCCAGCTCCTCCTTGTCTTCCAACACAAGAGGAAGCAGCATGAGGCCCTTACCAGAAGCCAAGCAGAAGCCAGCCATGCTTTCTACTTTTTTTTTTTTTTTTTGAGAAAGCAGGATTTATTGAGAGGACAGAAAAGCTCCCACAGTGGGAGGGGACCCAAGGACGATGCCCAGCCATGTTTCTTAAATCGCCTACAGAACCATGAGTCAAATAAGCCTCTTTTCTTTATAAACTACACAGTATCTGATATTCTTTTATAGCAGCCCAAATGGACTACAACAGGCCATGAATCAAGTATTAATAAATTGATCACAACAAAATAAGAGTAAAAAATAACAGTGGAAGAAGATTTGGGAAATTCACAAATATAGAGAAATTAAACATACTCCTAAATAATCAATGGGTCAAAGAAAACAATTACAAGGGAAATTAAAAAATACAACGAGCCCAAAACTTATGTAATTCAGCAAAGCAGTCTTCAAAGGGAAACACAGCTGTAAATGCCTACCTTAAGAAAAAAAGATCTTGGTCAGGCACAGTGGCTCACAACCATAATCCCAGCACTTCGAGAGGCAGAGGTGAGAGGACTGGCTTGGCCCAGGAGTTCAAGACCTGCCTAAGCAATATGGCGAGACCTCATTTATATAATAAATCAAAAAATCAGGTGGGTGTGGTGGTATGCACCTGTAGTCCCAGCTACTTGGAAGGCTGAGGTGGAAGGATTGCCTGAGCCCAGCAGGTTGAGACTACAGTAGGTGTCAATGTCCACTGCACTCCAGTCTAGGCAACAGAGTGAGATTCTGACTCAAAAAAAAAAAACTTAAATAAATAACCTTACTTTATGCTTTAAGAGACAACAAACAAAAAAAGGCCAGGTGCAGTGGCTTACACTTATAAACCCAATACTTTGGGAAACCAAGGTGGGAGGACTGTTTGAGCCTAGGAGTTGGAGACCAGCCTGAGCAACAAAGTGAGACCTTGTCTCTACAAAAAATTAGCTGGGCATGGTAGCATGAACCTGTAGTCCTACTTAGGAGGCTGAGGTGAAAGGATTGCCTGGGTCCAGGAGGCCAAGGCTGCTGTGAGCCATGATCATGCTACTGCATTTCAGTCTGAGCAACAAAGACCCCGACACCAAACAACAAATAAATAAATAAAAATAAAGAACAATGTCCCTTATGACTATAGATGCAAAAGCCCTTAACAAAATAATGGCAAACTGACTCTAACAGCATATGAAAAGGATTATATATCACAGCCAAATGAAATTTATCACAGTAACACGAGGTTGGCGCATTTATAAAAAAGCGAACAAAATTAGAAGACTCACACTTCCTCATTTCAAAATGTACTAAAAGCTACAAGTAACTAAGACATTATGGTACTGATATAAGGATATACTTAGACCAAAGGAACAAAATTGAGAGTCCAAAAATAAACCCAGACATGTATGTTCAATTCACTTCTGTCAAAGGTGCCAAAACTATTCAATGGATAAAGAGGTCTTTTCAACAAATAATGCTAGGATAACTGGATATGTATATGCAAAAGAAATAATTTGGACCCCTACCTCATACCACATATAAACATTAACTCTAAATGGATCAAAGACATAAATGTAAGCGTTAAAAAACACTAAAACTCTTAGAAAAAAAATATGGCTGAAAATCTGCATATCACTGGATTAGGCAACAAATAGTATTTAGATATGACACCAAAGGCATAAGCAATCAAACAAAAAATAAATTAGACTTCATCAAAATTAGTAACTTGTGCATCAAAGAACACTATCAAGAAAGTGAAAAGACAATCCACACAAGGCGGAGAGAATATTTGGAAATCAAATCTAACAAGAAACTAATATCTAGAATATTTTTTAAAAATCTTACAATTCAACATTGAAAAAGAGCCAAATGGGCAAATAATTCAAACAGATATTTCTTCAAAAAAGATATACAAACGCCCTACAAGCTAATGAAAAGATGCTCAACATCATCATCTTTTAGGAAAATGCAAATCAAAACCACAATAAGATACCATATCATACCCACTAGGATGGGTATAACTTAAAAATGCACAATAACAAGTATTGGCAAAGATGTAGATATATTAGAAATCTTATACATTGCTGGCGGCAATGCAAAATGTGCAGTTGCTTTGGAAAACAGTTTCAGTTCCTGAAAAAAAAAATTTACATACTATTACCATATAATCCACCAGCCACACTCCTAGGTGTACACTCAGAAGAAATGAAAATATTGCAAACAAATACTTATTGAAAGGAAATAACACAGAGTTGGTATACCCAACGAGCAGCCATTTTAACACTGCCTAGTTCTGTCATGTCTTTTAACAGTTCACTTTAATTTACCCTTTAATCACTAACCAAGGACAGACCCAGTTTTTCAGAAGTAGCTATTGATAATTGCTTTACAACCCCCTCCCAGTTTGTTTCATGAACAAGTTAACCTAATCAGTTTTTGAGTCTCATTCTGTGTCCCAGACTGGAGTGCAGTGGCCGCTCCCGGTCACCGCAGCCTCGACCTGCTGGGCTCCGGCGATCCTTCCACCTCAGCCTTCTAAGTAGCCGGAATTACAGGCATGCGCTACTACGCCCGGCTGATTTTTTGATTTATTGTAGAGATGAGGTCTCGCTGCCCAGGCAGGTCTCGAACCCGCGGGCTCAAGCAATCCACTCACCTCAGCCTCCCAAAGGCACGGGATTACAGGCTGAGCCACCGAGCCCGGCTCCTAATCAGTTTTTCATGATCTTCATGACAAAGACCCCATCAACATGTCAGCAATCATGTGCCTGACCCACCCATCTGCCGGCCATCCATCACCTCATGTCAGTACCTATGCTTGCCTGTCCCCTCTGTGATGATGTCGAGTACACCAACACCTTAAGACCTGACCCAATCAAAGGGAAACTTTAAAAGGATTAGACTTTGAGCAGTCATTTGCCATTGCATTGCTAAGCTATGGTCTGGCCATGTGTTCTTTGAGCTATGGCCAGGCCATGTTTTCCTATGCTTTGGTCTGCTCCCCTACCTTGGGGAGGTGAATCTCCTCTTCCTCTAATCAACTTTCGAAATAAACTATATTTTCTAATCTAACTGCTGTGCAATTCTTTGTGTCTTTCATGTGGCACCGGAAAACAAACTAGATACCCCTTGTCTAGTCTGTCCTAACATTTTTGGAGGCTCCTCTGGGATTTTTAACCTAACACTTATATATGAATGTCCACAGCTACACTATTGCAAAATCCAAAGGTGGAAATAAACCAATGTCTATCAACTAATGAACAGATAAACAAAATGGAATATCATTCATCCATTAAAAGGAATAAAGAGGCCCAGCACAGTGGTTCATGCTTGTAATCCCAGCACTTTGGGAGGTCGAGGTAGGAGAATTGCTTGAGACGAGAAGTTTGATACCAGCCTAGGCAACACAGCAAGACCTCATCTCTACAAAAAAATCAAAAAATTAGCCAGGCATGGTAGCAGGCCCTGTAGTCCCCGTTACTCAGGAGGCTGAGGTGGAAGGATGGCCTGAGTCAGGAGGTTAAGGCTGTGGTGAGCTGTGATTGTGCCACTGCACTCAACCAGAATGACAGAGTGAGACCCCAACTTAAAAAAAAAAAAAAATACATGTAAAAATTAAAAGAACTGCAAAGAGAGACAAATCTACAATTATAACTAGGGATTTCAATACTCCTCTCAACATTTTAGAGAACAAATAGACAGAAAATCAGTAGGAATTTAGAAGACTGAAACAACAATCTCAACCTACTTGACCAGAATGACATTTTATAAGACATTCCTAACAACAGTTGAATATACGTTTATAAAGATGAATCATTTTCTGAGCCATAAAACAAGTTTCAATATATTTAAAATAATCTGTGTCTGTTTTATTCTTTATATAAACCAGCACTAATTCTACTGCTCCTAAAGGAGTAGAATTCAGTTGTCACCAAGATGGGAATAGAATTCAGTTGTCACCAAGATGGGAGCTCTACTGAGTACAGACCAACATGATAAATAACCAATCCCTGCCCTTGTCTCCTCTCACTGTCTACTGAAAAACATCATTCTGAACCAATTAGGAAATCCAGAAAGTAGCTTGGTTACACGTGAAGAGCCATTCTAGATCTCAGTTGTCTAGCTACTGTATTCCTCCCTCTACATAAAACAAAAATGTAATACGAGGAAAATAAGAATATATTTGTCAAGTGCTTATAATACTAGTATAACATATTACTAAACCTTAGTTTAAAAATAAGCATTCAGGGCAACCCCCTCGGGTCCCCTCCAGCTTTAGGAGCTTTTCTGTCCTCTAAATAAATACCGCTTTCTCACCCCAAAATAAATAAATAAAAATAAGCATTCACAAAAGTAATTTATCAGACACACTAATGAAGTTAGATTAAAGGTTCAAGAATACACAAAGCCTACTACTTTTTGAAAAATGTTATAAAAATAAATCTCTTTCCTACTTATTTCAAACAGAGAAACCGCTCTTCCTATGTAAACTAGAGATAACACATTAAGTACAGAACAATGTACCTTTCAGTACATGGTAACAGCTTAGTTTACCTTAAGCTACTCACCTTATGAGCTGCAAAATTTGACTCATTTTTTTCTAGTGCTCTTTTTGCGTACTCCAGGGCTTCATATACCAGTAGTTTTTTCTCCTCTTCTGAGGTTCTGCTAAGTTGAGCTACATCACGTGATGCCCGTGCCAAACGCCACAGTAACTCTGCATCATCACTAAATTCAAATACAGTACAAAACAAACATTTTAGCTGACATTTAAAAATTGTATTTACTAGTCTTTCAGCTTATGAAGCAAACAAAATATCAAAAACCATTATTAAATTTATAGTTTTTATTATAAAACCTTTATTTGCTAAAATGTCCTATAAAAATATATAAGATTTTTCATAAATATTAACTTCTAGTATCTGAAATACTGACTTCCTTAGAAAATATCTTTGAATTCTCTAAACACTTGCTCTATTTAACTCAACCTGCAACAAGGCTTGGCCTCACTGGTACTGTACTTCTACTGCTCACTCACTAGTATTTATGATACCATAAAATATATAAGCTTTATAGACATAATCATGCTACAAACAAACAAAAACAAAACTGCTGAACCTCTAGTCCCAAATATAGTGCCTGGGCACACAACAGGTATGTGATAAATATTTGTTAGTGATTGAATAACTGAATATAATGTAATATCAAAATAAATTCTGTTTGAATGCCATGCCATGATGCATAGGTTATTTCTTACAATTATATAAGAAAGAGTTAATAAAGTACTAATCATAATTAACAGAAATATTTTGTAAAACTAACCTAAATTCCTTTCTGTAAATGTTTGCCTTTAATCCTACTTTATATTTCTTTTTTTAAAGAAAAAATAGTATTCACATAAAATCTTGAAACTAAAGGTAGCAATATTATAGTTATTATTCAGTGAATATGGACTATCTAAAGCTTACTTTTCAAATTATCACTGAAATAACTATCAAATGCCAAACCAGACACCTCAAGTTGTCGGTGACCAGCACTGACCAAGGGTGCGTTAGGACCCGCACCAGAGAATCTGGACAGCGAGAAGAGACCACTCAGAGGCAGTTTTTCTGGGAACAGTCTGATCAGGACTGAAGCCAAATTTTATTTGGACTCCTTCCAACTTATATACCATTTTCTATACCCTCCAGCAGTGTCATAATTATTTACTGGGGGCGTACAAGTTTTGTACTTTGTAAACTATGCATCACAAGACCACCACGAGATCTGCAATTTCCAAGCAAACAATTCGAATTCCATGATGCCTGTCGTGCTTACATTAAGGTCACAGGTGCACAATTTTAATACAAATCGTTCAAAGTGTTTTCTATAATGTTTAATGAATCATTTATATTATACTCTTTGTTTTATACCCTGATTAATACAAAAAACTTTTCTAAGTTAACTCTAGGTTTAATCCAAGTTTACTGACTCCCAATATTTTTAATGATTAATATTATCAACTTAACACTATACTATAATCTATAAGTTTAGTTAAATGACTTAACTGTCAGTTATACTATTAACCTATTATGATTTAACGTAATGCCTTATAACTCAGTTAAAACTTATTCTTAAACTACAAAACTTTACTATAATTCATATGTTTCATATGTCTAAACTTTAATTTTTATATGATGTAGTGATAGGACTTTAATATTATGCTATATCCTATTAAGCTAATACCTCATCATTAATTCTTTTATAAATTGTATAGTAATTATTATATTTGAATAATGTAGCAAACGGAAACAAAACAGCAAGCATAAATTTACGCAACTATGAGTGTATATGTATATATTTTATCCTAACAAGTCTACTCTAAAAATCAAATAGTAGCTGTCACACTTTGAACAAGGAAATGCATGGCTGCCAAGATGGCGGCCATGGGCTGAAGCAGACAGAGTTTCGGTAATTAACAAAACAAAAGAAAACGTTCTGCCTGGCTAGGGGCAGGGCGACAAAACTATTTAGTTTCTAATTTTAGCCCTAGGGGAAACAGCTTTCAGGAACAAGAGCTGACTACCCAGTCTACCAGGAAATAGAAGTTAAAAAATATCTAGAAAGAAGTAAAACTTAGAAAGACAGAGAGAAATAATTCTGCTATGCACTTTCCATCAGGTGTATTGAGATTTACTTATAAGTTTTACTGCCATGTATGCACACTGGTCACTAATCACACGCCAATATTATAGGTATAACTGATATCCTATTTCAGAGGCGATCTTCCAGATGGGCCTTTACAGGCCTCAGCCATGTAGCTATAGATGTTGGCTCCCAACATTTCCCCCTTTTTCATTAAAACAAACGTAAAACATCTTGGCTTTTGTCTTAGGTTGTTTTCGCCTCACCATAGTTGTTACCCGTCATCGGCCCGTTTCCTTTCCCCGCGGGGAATGCCTGTCTTAGGTTCATACGAGGTGGCTGGAATCTTACCCATCACTAAATACCATGAGCGCAAAGACTTGAGGGGACATAGGGAGAATGAAAAATGGTAAGCTGATGACACAAAATATTAGCCTTTATGACATAGGTGACCAGCTGATAGATGACATTATTTTTTTTTTTTATTAGTAAGAACTGTCATATGAATATTATCAGAGTTATGTTGAACTGCTTTTCTTAAACGTTGGATGATGACTGGAAAGATAAACTGCAGAAAAAGAACAATTATACCAATAGCAATGAAATTATAGATCAGATTCCAGACAGAATTGGAAGCCACAAACTGAGAAAGGGAAGAAGTAAATTTAGAAGCCAGTTGAGAAACTGAAAGTGAGGAAACATGTGTCTGAGAAACAGCAGTAATCTGACTATGCAACTGTTGAATGTTTAAAGAAGAATTAGAAGACTGCCAAACTCCCATAAGATGTTTTTGGACATCAGTCCAATTGACATTCTGACCATCATATGGCAAAGGTGTAACACAAATCCATTTAAATTGAGCGTGACAAGCTACAGACATTTGAACCTTAATGTGTTGTATTTGGTTTTCTATATATATTAGTGTTGATTTTAAAGCATTCAATCTATCAATAATACCTTTATCTATCTGCTCTTGAGTAAATAAAGTTAAGCTAACATTTTGAGATAAATCATTTACGTGATTAGCTGTGTGAACTTTTTGAGCCAAAGCAGTGGCAGACGTTGTTACAGATCCTATGATAGCTATTAAAGCAGAAATTTCCAAGACTAAAGCTGCAACAAACCTACAAGGCCTATTTAACATTGCTGTGGCTTGTTCTAAAATATAAGTACCTGGAGAAAAATACCACGGTTCCGGTAGCTGAACAGGCACAAAAACGTAAGAAGGATGTTTTAACAGAAATACTTGATACGGGTTACAATAATACAATTAGACAAAGTACAATTTTCACAATTAATTTCAAAATGACCAAAATTATATATTACCGAGTAAATAGAATGAGCATTAGCAATTAACAAAGCATATGGGGAATGAACACAGGCCTGTAAAAAGTTGTAAAACCGGAATGAGGACAATAAAGTGTTACAGGACCTGTTGTTGCAAACAATCAATAAAGTTGAGTCTGTAATGAATGATTAGAGGATAGAGAACTTTGAAACATAGATGTAGCCCATTTATACGGGTACCTTTTAGTTGTGGCAAGTGTAGAGCCATTAAAACCCCAGTCACTAATATATAATTTTTTACCGGGTATAGGATAGTCCACCTTAGAGTTATAAGCACAGTTTTTCTATTTTGGGAAGCCAGCATTTCGCCGTATGAGTGACCAGTCCTTTTCCATATTATTGAAGGGGCAAGCAGATACGCTGAGAGGCGATGAAGCTGTAGTCGCATGGCTAGGGGCGGTTTCTCCAGGCATTAACATCTCCAGTCGCCAACCGACTTTGATATTGTCCTGATAAGGGCTTTTTGTACTCAGAGACTTAAAGGTAGACATTAAGGAAGAAGGCTGGTAATTATTAAAAGCAGAATTATTATACTAACAAATAGGGAGTTGGAATGCCCTTTATAAGAAAAATTATGATTAGTAACAAGTTTGACTTGAGCACAAAATAAAGTAGGCTCTCCCCTTTTTCTGTAAGAAGCTTCCATTTTATCAGAGGTTTTTTATTTTTTTCTGAATCTCAATGTCTAGTCATAGCTGAATAGCCTGAAGAGCTCAAATTTAAATGATTAATAATAAATAAAGTGTGATTCAAGATGTGGTGAGGAGAGTTATACTTGAACTCACCCTCTTATAACTTAATTGATTTTTTAAAGTTTGGTGAACTCTTTCAACTATGGCTTGACCTTGTGGATTGTATGGAATTTTTGTGGAATGAGAAATATTAAATTAGGAGTAAAATTACTGGAAAGATTTAGATGTATATGCAGGACTGTTGTTGGTTTTCAGTTGCTCTGGCATACCTAGTTGTGAAAAGCAAAAGAATAAATGTTGTATCACATCCTTGTAGGCTTCTAGTTTTTGCTGAAGCTAAAATAACATGAGAAAATTTATCTACAGTCACATGTAAATAAGACAATTTTCCAAAGCTGAGAAAGTGAGTTACATCCATTTGTCATAGTATGTTAGGTCTCAGTCCTCGAGAGTTGACTCTTCTTGGAGCTGGAACAAAAGTTTTTTAATTTTCAGAGAGTAAACTGAATGTAAATTGTTTATTATCCTCTGGGCTTAAAAGTATAGTAAAGAAACAATTCTGTAAATCAATAACTATAATATTAAAGTTAACAGGTATAGCAATCCAGGCTGTAACACTCCATAGCTCCCATAGCAGTGTTAATAGCTCTTAAATCTTGTAAAAGTATCCATATACCAGATTTTTTTCTTAATTACAAAACTTAGGCTTTTCATTAACTTGGACAGGTTTCTGCATTACCTGTCTGACTTTGCCAAGTCTCCTAAAAGGATCATAGCCCATCTACAGCATTTGTGCTGAAGCTTTATCATTAGGACTATATAAATGCATGCTTATTTGAGCAAGAATATCTCTTCCCCATAATATAAAGGGGGTAGATGGAATAACGTATGGGCAAAAAGTTTTTGAAGTCTTACTATCTGTCTAATTTAAAATTTGTGAACTTTGGCTACTGAGGGTACTCGACCAATGCCTATGAGTCCTGAAGGAGCCTTTTTGAGTAGACAAAGAAGCAGGCTAACTTTCCCGGCAATATAGGAAACATCGGTTCCGGTGTACAATAAGTCTTTAATCTTAACTCCTTATATATATATGTCTTCTAGAGGTCTAGGGTTAGTAACCTCCTGAACCCAAAAAGCAACATCATTAGAGTAAAATCCAGAGTTACCTCTAGGCAGGTTAGTTAATTTTACCTGTTTTATGATAAGGCAGGAGCAGCAACTGGGCTATTCTCTAATCTTTTTAAACTGCACAGTTTTGCTAGGGGAAACAACAAGCACCTGGATTTCTCTTGTGTAATCCGAATCCACATTTCCAGAAATAATGGATATTTCTTGTAATGACATGGAACTTCTGCTTAATATTACACCCACTATTCCTTCTGAGAGAGGGCCCTTCTCCCACAGGAACTGGGGTTACCGGAACGTCCGGAGTTAATATTGTTGTGGTGGAGGAACACAAGTTCAGTCCGGTATTCCCAGGGGTGGCTCGTTATTGATTTAAAGGATTACCATTTTTTATGAAATTTAGATAGGCATTCTCTAGCTTAATGAAAGCCTTTTTGGCAATTGGAACTCAAAGGTTTTAGTCGAGTAGACCCAGTAAATGGTGACAATGTGCCATGTAAGTTAGCCATACCTTGCTTAATAAAACAATCTCTGCTAATGTGTCTGACTTGACCACAGTTAAAGCAAGACTGCAATGAGATATTCTTTTGTTTATTACTTATATACATTTATTTATATAAATTATTAATATATTTTTTATATATTACTTATATTATTTTTTACTTATATACTATTTATATTGCTTATATATTGCTTATATTGCTATATATATACGCTTATATTGCTTATATTACTTATTTTACTTATATTACTTATATTATTTATATATTACTTATGTATGACATTATTTATATTACTTATATATTCTTTATATATATAGCTTACATTGCTTATATATATATATTGCTTATATACATTACTTAAATTACTTATATCACTTATACTTTACTTATATACATTTGTTTATTATTACTTGAGCTTTCTACATTTCTATAAGGAAAAGAAAAGTGTGTCTAAGTTTAGGCTTTATTTTAGTATTCTTAACTTTTAAAGGAAACTTTAGAGAGAGGTGCAGCAAGAGTGGCAAGAAAGAAGGGTTTTTAATCATCATCATTATCATCAGCATTGTCTGATATAATCAATTATATTGCCGGTCTTTTTTATCAGTCTTATTAAAGCCTAACAAGTGTTTTTAGCATTTTTAACAGCCAATTGTTTTACTAAAATTTTTGCTGCCTCTTTGCTAGTAATTACTCATCTGACGGTGGTGGTTACTTTAGAAATGAAATCCTCGTAATTTTTGTCTGCCTTTTGTTTAAACTTAGACAAAGAAAGAGTTTAAGTGGAATTAGCAGGCAACTTTCTGTACAAAATCTAGAAAAGAATTTACTTTATCTTTACTTACCTTTACACATTTATGTTTCAAGGCCTTAGACATAATACGAATATAGGCTCTCCTTTCCTTGGAGCCACAGTTCCCCATAACTGTGATAACAAAACACCAATATACACAATATACAGTAATATCACTACAAAAACTGAGTCGCTTTTTTTATGGCAATAACGAGTCGGGCAGTCCGTTGGCGACACTATACAACCACTCTGCTTGCCTATCGACCCGCGCACTCCAGGGGGGCTGCAGCACCCTAAGACAAGGTCCGTCCAGAAACGAGATGAATGAACAAATGGGGAACATATATATATATACAATTACCGGAGTCAGGCCCCTGTTCAGGCGCCAAAGCTGTCGGTGACCAGCACTGACCAAGGGTGGGTTAGGACCCACACCAGAGAATCTGGACGGCGAGAAGAGACCACTCGGAGGCAGTTTTTTTGGAAACAGTCTGATCAGCACTGAAGCCAAATTTTATTTGGACTCCTTCCAACTTATATACCATTTTCTATACCCTCCAGCAGTGTCATAATTATTTACTGGGGGCATACAAGTTTTGGGCTTTATAAACTATGCATCACAAGACCACCATGAGATCTGCAATTTCCAAGCAAACAATTCGAATTCCATGATGCCTGTCGTGCTTACATTAAGGTCACAGGTGCACAATTTTAATACAAATCGTTCAAAGTGTTTTCTATAATGTTTAATGAATCATTTATATTATACTCTTTGTTTTATACCCTGATTAATACAAAAAACTTTTCTAAGTTAACTCTAGGTTTAATCCAAGTTTACTGACTCCCAATATTTTTAACGATTAATATTATCAACTTAACACTATACTATAATCTATAAGTTTAGTTAAATGACTTAACTGTCAGTTATACTATTAACCTATTATGATTTAACATAATGCCTTATAACTCAGTTAAAACTTATTCTTAAACTACAAAACTTTACTATAATTCATATGTTTCATATGTCTAAACTTTAATTTTTATATGATCTAGTGATTGGACTTTAATATTATGCTATATCCTATTAAGCTAATGCCTCATCATTAATTCTTTTATAAATTGTATAATAATTATTATATTTGAATAATGTAGCAAAAGAAAACAAAACAGCAAACATAAATTTACACAACTATGAGTGTATATATATATATTTTATCCTAAAAAGTCTACTCTAAAAATCAAATAGTAGCTGTCACACTCTTAAACAAAAAAAATGCATGGCTGCCAAGATGGCAGCCATGGGCTGAAACAGACAGAATTTCGGTAATTAACAAAACAAAAAAAAACGTTCTGCCTGGCTAGGGGTAGGGTGACAAAACTATTTAGTTTCTAATTTTAGCCCTAAAAAAAACAGCTTTCGGGAACAAGAGCTGACTACCCAGTCTACCAAAAAATAAAAGTTACAAAATATCTAAAAAAAAAATAAAACTTAAAAAGACAGAGAAAAATAATTCTGCTATACACTTTCCATCAGGTGTATTGAGATTTACTTATAAGTTTTACTGCCATATATGCACACTGGTCACTAATCACACGCCAATATTATAGGTATAACTGATATCCTATGTCAGAGGCAATCTTCCAGATGGGTCTTTACAGGCCTCAGCCATGTAGCTATAGATGTTGGCTCCCAACATCAAGTTACTGAGAGAAGAATGGAGAAGAAAAGACCGATTCTACAGCTATTTAGGAAGCAAAATTGATAGGTCTTTGGGAGAAAACTGGTTTAAGCAATCTAAAAAAGGCAGCTGAAAATGACTCAGTAACTTTAGTTTGAGAAATAAGGTTGATTAGCAATCTAGAAATATTAGATTTAGTGACTTCCTCTCCCTTCACCCTCCACCCAAAAGTAAGTATACACTGATATTCCAGACTAAGCATATAATCTAATACTAAGAATAGAAAAAAACGAGGTACTTTTAAGACTGTGCTTCTAAAGTGATACACAGTTACCATTCAATGGCAGCATACAATCATCCTAAATCCCACTGAATTCATTTAAATCTATAAGGAAGTACCTCAAAAGAAAAGGAATGATAACAATCAATATGGATAGATGGTTTAAAAATATATTGAACGAAGCCGGGCTCAGTGGCTCAGCCTGTAATCCCGCGCCTTTGGGAGGCCGAGGTGAGTGGATTGCCTGAGCCCATGGGTTCCAGACCCGCCTGGGCAGTGAGAACTCATCTCTACAATAAATCAAAAAATCAGCTGGGCGTGGTAGCGCATGCCTGTAATTCCCAATACTTGGAAGGCTGAGGCGGAAGGATCGCCGGAGCCCAGCAGGTCGAGGCTGCG